AATTATTGTATCTCACACGCTATTGTTTTATTATCCAAAGCACACTTTCTTGAAAACATTCCGTTACGAGGGAAATCTCAATTATACAGGGTGTCCCTAGACCAGTGGGACAGTTAAATATCTCCTGAACCAATGGGAATTTTCGAAATATTATAATTCCACATCATATCGCATTATGAGTGCTAACTTCAGGAATGACTATATTTTATACGAGGTGTGCAAGAAAGGCTCACAAAATCGAACATCAATTTTTTCAAATGGAACACCCTGTATTTCATCGCATTTTCATATTCTCCTTGAAGAGCTGAATTCACCGACCTAGCACACTTGGGGTCTAGCGGGAATGATTTCCGAGATATAGGGTGTGGAAAATCGAGATTTTTCATTTTTGGGAATTTTTTGTGTCGAAACTATTCATTATTGGTCAAAACGGCTCACATGTCCATATCTCAACTTTTGATTTACTATTTACTCGTATTTAATTGAAACAAATACAGGGTGGTGTAGAATTCTGACTGAAACTGTTAATTCTACACCACCCTGTATTTGTTTCAATTAAATACGAGTAAATAGTAAATCAAAAGTTGAGATATGGACATGTGAGCCGTTTTGACCAATAATGAATAGTTTCGACACAAAAAATTCCCAAAAATGAAAAATCTCGATTTTCCACACCCTATATCTCGGAAATCATTCCCGCTAGACCCCAAGTGTGCTAGGTCGGTGAATTCAGCTCTTCAAGGAGAATATGAAAATGCAATGAAATGCAGGGTGTTCCATTTGAAAAAATTGATGTTCGATTTTGTGAGCCTTTCTTGCATACCTCGTATAAAATATAGTCATTCCTGAAGTTAGCACTCATAATGCAATATGATGTGAAATTATAATATTTCGAAAATTCCTATTGGTTCAGGAGATATTCAACTGTCCCACTGGTCTAGGGACACCCTGTATATTATATGGCTAGGTTGTGAATTCAAAGTATGATTGTGATATATCGTTGGAAAGCTATTGTTATACTGAATCCTAATTTCCAGAAGATAATCATAATGTTTCTGTTTTAAAAAAATTGTAGCCACTTCCTGACCAACCGGAAGAGTCATATTTCGTCTGATACTAGCAAAATGATACACTCATGCAATCAAATCGATGTATCAAATTTGAAAAATCCATTCAAAAGAGCAACGAAGATACAGGAAGGGGAAAATTTTCTCAGGTCACCCAGTATAACACTCTCTTCAACTCAAAATGAAAGTTATAGGAACATTATATTCATTAAAAAAATACGTGGATATTTTTGTTGAATTTATCCGAGGATTCATGCGATCCAACTCTATTGAAAGATCGGAAAAGTTGTCGAATTCAGCAACTATTTATCTTTTACGAAATTCACCTAACTAATCAGGAACTTCATCAGGAGTTTCCTTTCGGCATTACGCGGAAAATCAACAAGTGGAAAATTCCTTATTTATATTCAATTCCGTATAGCTTTCCTTGAAGGAACAAAGAATTGAAACAAATGTAAAAGAGGAATAATTTTTCCGTTTTTCACTTCCGCTTGGCTCTTGTTTTTACACCATTTCATATTCATGAAATTCCAAATTCAGTATGAAAGACGACGATCTCTCACTTTCCTATAGATACTTCCACGGAAAGTGTTCTTCAGAAACCTCTTATATATCATTCCGTCACTAGTAGGTAATACCAGTCTAACAAACTCAACTTCCTATTTTCGCCAACCTTGAGTAATGTCGAACAGTTCTTTATCAAAACTCGTTCTCCTATACAGGGTGTCCCATTGGGAAACGTAAAAACTTCAACAGTGGGAAGAGCTCATCAGAGCTCATCAGAGAGTATAGCTGATTTCACTTTGAAACATTGTATCGTGCATAGTTGTTCAGGTTATACAGGGTGTAATGAATCTCAGGGGTCTGGGTTGGCGGGGTTCGGCTGAGTAAAAAATTGCATAATTACCTCCCCGTTATTCTGGGACACCTTGTATAGGTCTCATCACGCTCATTTTGTTTTTGGTTTTACTTCAATGTAAAATATCATTTGAATATTCACTCTCTTGAAACATTTCGTGTTATGAAAATGATTTCCATATTCATTTATTCTCAAAAGCAGTATTTCCACAGCCTCAGATGAAATGAGAATATCACAGAGGATAGAGAAGCGACATGGTATGTATATAGTGAAAAGCAAACTTCCAGCCGTCATCATTACATAAACATGAACTTTAATAAAACGAATGTAAAAGCTTCATAATTCCGTCGAAAATGCTGGAGCACGGATATCAACCTTACCGAGTTTTCCGGAATCCCAACTGGTTTTCGCTATAGTCCAGAATTTGATGAGGTAAATTTCTTTATTTCAAAAAGCACGGCAGCTACCCAGTGAATCATTACGATCATCAACTTCTACTCGAAGAATTCGAGGTAACTACTCTGAGGAAGCGAAGAGAAATCTCTGACCTTACATTCCTTTACAAAGTCATACATGGTCTAATTGACTCACCAGAATTACTAGCCCTAGTTAATTTCAAGGTGCCACGAATTACTTCGAGATCGAACATCCCCTTTCACATCGATGCAACTAACTCCTACCACCATTTCCATAGTCCCCTGTTTCACATGTGCAGACAATTTAATAGGTTGGATGGTGTAGATATATATTCACCTTCACTAACCCAGTTTAAAAATATCTTATTTCAGCATATCTCGAATTAACCAACTTTTGTTAACAGATTAACTACTGTATCACACAAAATACTGTTATATACTCCAACTAGTGGATCTATGATCTGTTTGGATGTATTATATTAAATAAATAAATAAATAAATAACATCTGTGGAATGGACGCGATGAATTCACCTTATCATTTTTCCGATGACCACTGCTATAAAAAAAGAACCTATGACGGCTATGACCCTTTTTTGTAGTCATATTAGTTGCGTTTAATTGTCATTGCTATTGTCACCAGTGGGACAGAATCGCCGTTTTATTGACTATTCTGTGGAATTTCATATCATCCTGGTGCCACTGGCCATTCCGTCTCAGAACATCCAATGTGTGGTGGAATGTTTGGAATGTTTGACAAAAAAAGGGGATTTGACATGCATCATATTAATTTTGTTGTAATCAGAAACTTTGAGAAAAAATAGTAGATACGGAATAAGGAATAGGTAGGTACTTCTACTGACGGAAAAGATGAGCCAACAAAATTGGAAAAATGTGCATGTAACTCATGGAGACATTCAGGAGTCATTCTGATATGGCTCTGAAAGGATTGTTTCTCGGTATAACAATCTCATGAACATTTTCACTTTTGGGGACGTCTTCATTATTCATTCTGAAAACAGAAAACATTTATGTGATTTAACGAATCCATATAATTTCATGAACAATGTCGCTTCTCCAACAAATATAAGTTTCAATTCACTTTTCATTTCCATATTTAGTATGGTGCTCACTGCATGATTTACTACAATATTCTTCATTATGTACTATCAAAATTTGATAATATCGAATAACGCCAATTTGTACGGAATGATTATCGATTAGTCATAGCAGAAATACTCACGTACCTAAATTGATCCAATCCATCGATCCAAAAATTTGTATAATCTGAACTTTGATGTTTTTTATTGATGATTAGATAGAATAGATTTTGATTGTTTCACCTACGGCCACTAGAGAAAGTAAGTAGCTCTTCACGCACAGTAAGCACATCGCACAGTTTTCGTTTATTCCTCCAGGTATGTCATCATTGCGTAATCGCCGTCAACAGCGGATGACATAGCTGTCAAGAATTATAATACAGATTGATTCAGACTATTTGACCAAACTTTTTTGATGTACTATATGGCAGTTGGTAAAGTATAGTACGTAGGTTAGGTAATGCGTGTTGTATAGCAATTACGCACGATCGCATCGATCAGAATCCATTCTCACGTTTTCTTCTGTATATTACAGCGGTATTTTTTTGTTTACTGAATTCTATCGGACTTGCTCTACCAATGAATTAACCCACACGTGACATCTTCCTCGCTTTTCAGCGTTAAAATTTTGATAGTTTTAAACGTCAATTATGTTGGAAGCCAGAATGATGGATGCAGTGTGCGCTACTCTCGCAAGCCGCTCGTTTATTGTCTCAATCATAGAATACTCATACAACTCGTGATAATATTTGTCCTGGAAATATTCTCCGATTGACATACTCCAGCTTGCTGCTTCAATTTCGATAATGACATTGTTCCCAAACTTCACGCCTATTGCTCGTAGTTTTGATAACAATGTCATTCGCGAAATTACTAGGCAACAAGCTGTCGTAACAATCACCGAATATTTCCGGTAAAATATTAATTATCACTTGTGGTATTACATATGAAGATTCTTGGAAAAATTGAAGTTTCTCGACCCTTGCTAGGGAATTTTTATCAAAATAGGTTGGCAACACTGCAGTCCAGAGTGAGGGATATTTCATTTGCATTACCCGGTATGGTTAAAGCATTGTTGAAGCTGATAATCCCATTTCATTGTGTTTAACCGTGACGTCATTTCCGTTTGGGTACACCTCCCCTACCTGCCCTAGGGTTTACCAACTCGTAAAGGTATTAAGTTGAAAGTTATACTTGAATTTTTCTTTACAAATGATGAATATGAAAAATGGAGGATGTAATGCGAACATTCAATTTAAAAATGAATGGAGTGGGTATCGGGGTAAAGATACACGATAAACTGTGGTAAAGGGTAAAGTGAAAGAAATAGGTCTTCGAAAATAGTTAATGTTGACGTCATTATGGCGTTGTTGCCTCCCACCACCTTCACGGAAATACTCTAACCGGGTGTAACCATGGTTCAACGGGGAATGTGAATGAAATATCCCTCCGGTAGACTCCAGGGTCGGTCCAAGGTCCAATTATTGGAAAATCCGGAAAATCACATCCTAAATATTTCAGTGTTCATTCTTCATTCAACATAAAATCGAATTAATTGTAAAACTAATTCTCGATTCGTAGGTAGGTATATTATATCAATTGCTCAGATCAATAATCATAGTCAGAACTTTAGTCTCATAGGATGATAAGTTGATAAGATTGATAAGCATTATATTCTATGAATACTTATAGTATGAATCATTCAAACGATGATCGCGAGAATCGCGACCGCGATTTACGAGATATGGGATATGAGAATCGAAAATTTCAAGGATCTTTTTATTTGCTTTATTACGTCACTTCCATAAATGATCATAAAATAAAGAGCTGGTAATTGGGAATTTGAGTATGCTTGTTTGCAAGGTGTGTATGGGTTTGGGTTGAAAGCATGATAGGTATATAACTTTATATTACATCAATATTCTTTATCATTCCAGGTTAACCACTGATACAGCACAGATCCAATAATACAGCAATAACCAAGTTGGTTATTCTAGATTAAAAGTACTGCAAATCTCACATCACAATGGCTCTCTCAAATGCCCTAAGTCTAGTAAATTGGCCAGCTTTGGGATTCACAGTGCTACCCAATTTGGGAGGAATAGCTGGAGGTTTTATCACCAAGAATGCAATCGAGAAATGGTACAAAACCTTAAAACTACCTTCATGGAGGCCCCCAAACTGGGTTTTCGGACCTGTTTGGACAACCTTGTACTGTGGAATGGGCTATGCCTCTTATATGGTGTACCGTGATGGAGGTGGATTAATGGGTGAGTATAATAACAGAGGGCCTGATATTAGTAGCATTTATTTTACCACAGTATAAACCCTTATTTTCCATAAATACTAATCTATTCAATATCTATCATACTGCCATGCTAATCTCCAAAAAAACAGCCTCAAATCATACTCCATCATGAGATTGAAACATATTCCCAATCATCAGTCATATATATGAGGTAGCAATTATTATACTATTTTTGTTTCAGCTTAATTTATTCAAAAAAACTATTTTTCAGGTCCAGCAAGGTTGCCCCTCACTGTATATGGGCTGAATATTGTTGCAAACTGGATGTGGACTCCAATATTCTTTGGGGCAAAGAATCTCAAACTGGTAATTTTTCTGAAATTTTAATTCAATATTCAGGGTATCCTAGAAAGGTCTTTACAAAATGATACCATACTCCTGAGACCTCTATACCAAAATGCTAAGTTTAGCTGCTCTCTGTGGTATTGAATTTTATTTTTTTATTTTGTATGCAACACCCTGTCATTTGAATTTGTGGAGAAATGTTTGCCACATATTGAATATCATTGATATGATTGATGATTTCATATGTAAATCAAGTATAAACCTACAATAATTGAATAATTCTGAAGAGTATCAGGTTTGCAACAAACTGAATTTGGTCAATTAACTTGCAAACCCATAGAAATATCACAAACTTTCAAGAGGGCTGAAAGTTAGGTATTGAATGAAGGAATAGAAAACAGCATTGAGATATGTTCAGTGGCGTAGTTGGAAAAAGTTCTATCAATTTTTGGTTCAGCAGAGTGGTCCAAATATGTAACATCCTGTGTGTTAATCAAAATGTTGTGGAATGTTTGTTATGCATAAAAGTCCTTTTAGTGTGCCCACAAAATTTCTGAAGGATATATATATATATAGACAATATTGAAATATAAGGAAAAATATAAAAATAATAGTCAATTCCCACACCCTGTAGTGACTAAAGGGAACGTGTTGGTTGGTGGAGGTAACTTTGGCAGGGAAGACATTGGACTCAGGAGTCTATGGTATCATTTTGTACAGACCTTTTAAGGACACCCTGTATAACTACTTACATATACAGTGTCCTTCAAGAAGTTGGCATCATAAGGGAAAATCTATTAATGATAAGTTATTAATTATTTGGTAATTAAAGTTGGGCATTACGTTTTGCTTCAAAAAAAGATGAAAAATGGCATACTTGATCAGGGTCATGTAACTTTTGCTACATGTCCAAAAGTTACATTTTTTCGAAATTTTTTCCTAAAAAAAGGCTTATTTCTTTGAATTTACAATATGTTTACTAGGAGAAGTTGTTCTGCAAATTTTAGATTTTGAAATTTTTTAATTATTTCTTGTAAATTTCTGTAATTTTGAGAAAACTGTTTCATACCAGTAGCTTTATCATGCTAATTATCAACAAAAATATAATATTATTTAGAAAATAATAATCCCCCTTCAAATTATTTTTGTTATGGTAGATGCAAAGTTGACATATCCTCAAAAATTTAGAAGTGAAATGTATTTCTAAATGGTTTTGTTCAGTACTAAGATGATGCCAAAGTCATCAATCATAATTATGATAAATCTATTTTACATAGGTTATTATCTAACCAAAGTTGAGGACAGTTTTGTGGAAGTAATAATTTTCCTAATATTTCAGAAATCTCATAGAAGTAAATATAAGTATCAAGAACTCAAAGTTGAAATAGAACATTCAAATTTGAGACAAATAATATGTGTAAAATTGAGACAACTTTTCAGTAAATGTTCTCAAAATTCAAACAAAAATAATAAACCAACTTTTGACATGTAGTTGAAAATAAACCTCTGAATAAACTATTCAATTTTTCCCATATTATGCCAACTTTCTGAAAGACACTGTAAATAGTCTATTGTGCAGATTTTCATAATGATGATATTTCAGGCCTTTTATGAGATTCAGTTAGTTGATGCCACTGCTCTGGGAATGACATACCTGTTTTACCAAATAAACCCTACTGCTGGACTTCTTATTGTCCCTTACTGTTTATGGTTGAGTATAGCTACCACTCTGAATTATGTGATATACAGGGACAACAAGCCCAAAATCACTGAGTTGAAAGAAAATTGAATATTTTTTATTGTTCTTTCCAAAGATTTTTGTAGTAGAAGTGATGGTGTGAGCATTTATATTATTAAGTTATATCAGGTATTTGCAGTTAATAATTTATATTATTAAAGTATATTTGATTTTAGTTTCATTATTCTTGATTTAAACTTTCCTACACCTATTTAAAAAGCAAGATACTGTAGAATTATCTATTATCAAAAATTATCTGAATCATTGGAATGATCACCAGTTATCTGAGAATATACTGGAACATTTCAAGGATTTTTTTATTTGTTTAATTACATCACTTCCATGAATGATCATGAAGAAAACTCTTTTTTGAGATGTTTGCAAGGTATGTATGGGTTTGAGTTGAGCTCAAGGTAGGTATATCTAGATTATTTTATATCACATAAACTCTTTATCAATCCAGGTCAACTACTATACAGCACAAATCCAATAATACAACTAAGTTGGTCATTCTAGAACACCACCAAGCCTAGAAGTACTGCAATTCTGGTATCATAATGGCTCTCTCAAATGCTCTAGGCCTAGTAAATTGGCCAGCTTTGGGATTTACAGTGCTACCCAATTTGGGAGGAATAGCTGGCAGTTTCATGTCAAAAAATGCAATTAAGGAATGGTACAAAACGTTGAAACTACCTTCATGGAGGCCTCCAAACTGGGCTTTTGGACCTGTTTGGACAACCTTGTATTGTGGAATGGGCTATGCCTCTTATATGGTATATCGTGATGGAGGTGGACTAATGGGTGAGTATAATAGGGCCTATTGAAGTCATACTGTCCATGCTGATCTTCAAAAAATCAGACTCAAATCATACCTCATCATAAGATTTGTTTCCTTCAATCTATGCTTCATGTTTTACCCTAGATGGTGAATAATGATATTTCTTATTGGCTGCAAAGTTATGAAAAAATGTAACATAAGGAAAAATTCTGTAGACCATTGAAACATATTCCCAATCTATCAAGTCTGAAGTAGCAATTACTTTTTTTGTCTCTGCTTCATTTATTCATAAAAAGGAATATTTTTCAGGTCCAGCAAGGTTCCCAGCAAACACAGGGCAGTAACTGTAAAGTACTATGGAAGTAATTTTGCAACTAAAATCCGCGTGCGATGTACGAAAAACATCTCCTTCCGCTCTTATTTGCAGCAAAATGTCCGCGACATCAAGTACGCATTACATTAATTGTGTTGTTCAAATTGAGATTCGGAAAAATAGCCCAAATAAAACATATATCCGTAAAGTCACTGTGGCAGTTTTTGAGACAATGAATGTCTCAATTACAATCACATTTGGCACATTCATGCGAGGATTCTCTGAGACTTCTACATTCTATTCCTTTTAATATGGTGACTTTATCGGATAGACTTCTTCGCGATGTTTCTTGATGACGATTTTTTCAACTAGAAATTCAACATATTTTGTGATAATGACATTGTGGTTGTTTATTATTATCTTGAAATAATTATCACTGCATCTTATATTTTTTGTTAACAAAGCGAAGTCTCAATGTAACCACGTTCAGAACAAATATGCGTAATCAAACTGAAAACATATTTCCATTTGCAATTTGGGACTTCGCGAAACTGCCATGTGATGTAACGTGTTTGCTGGGTTACCCCTCACTGTATATGGGATAAATATTATTGCAAACTGGGCATGGAGTCCAATATTCTTTGTGGCAAAGAATCTGAAACTGGTAACTTTCCTTAAATTTTAATTCAATGTATAACTACTTACCTATACATAGTATTTCATGAAGATTAATATATTTCAGGCCTTGTATGAGGGTCAATTGATTAATGCCACTGCTCTGGGAATGACATACCTGTTTTACCAAATAAACACTACTGCTGGACTACTTATTGTGCCTTATTGTATATGGTTGAGTTTGGCCACCACTCTGAATTATGTGATATACAGGGACAATAATGGTGGATTTATGCAGCAGTTTTAAGTAATAAGTTTTAAGTCGTAAGTATTAAGCCATAAGTCTTAAGAAGATCATTCATTGCGTTTCAATATAAACGTTCATACAATTGTCATAAGTTTTAAGTCATAAGAAAAGTTGGCCAACATTCATCTCTTACGACTTACTACTTAAAACTTATGACTAATTTGCTCTGCGCATGAGCCGTGCGCTGCCATTTGTAATTTTGGTTTGTTTACATTTGTTTCAATCGAATCAAAACCAGAGCAAATATTCGTAACTGCTGAATAATAGAAAAAAAATTCTGTGATACCTCAAACATGGAAAAAACTGAAAACAATAAGCAAAATGAGCTAATGATCAGGGGTGCTTTTCTTATGATATGACAGTCCTTATTATTGCTGCATGAATCACCATTTTCACCTTACGACTTAAAACTTGTGACCTAAAACTTACGACTTAAAACTTAAGACTTAAAACTGCTGCATAAATCCACCATAAGCCAAAACTCACAGAGCTGAAAGAAAATTGATTATTTTCTGTTCCTTCCAAAGATTTTTGTACTACCAGTGATTGTATTATTGTCAGGTATTTGTTTTACTAGGTATATATTTTTGAAGTACAATTAATAGCAAACCCATATAACTCCATCATTGGCAAACAATCAGTATTCTACAACGGAATCATTTTATATAATTCATTACCTTATGATTTGAAACATATTGATGATGAAACAAGATTCAAAGTCAATACGAAAAAATATATACTCATGACACAATAAACGGAGCAATTTATTCTCATTTGAATACTTGGAATGGTTTTATTTTAATTATTATGTTATATTGACATAACTTGTTAATTAGTTTTTTTTTATTGTTTTATATATATATATATATATATCATATGTTTATGTATCCCTATTATAAACAAATATGTTTCTTGGGGTAATAAAGAACAACAACAACAACAACAATTTGATTTTCATTTCATTATTCTCAACTTTTCTACACCCTTTTAAAAAAGCAGGATACCTACTGTAGAAGTTTCAAAAACTTTTCTGGTACCTAGAAGAAAAGTGTTGGTAATTTAGAATAATCATTATTAAATTAGAACTAAGCACAAATATGCAGTTCCAACATTGAAATAGGAAGATGAATAATAATTGTGAACAATAACAGCATAGGTACTCCCTTTATTACACATTGAATAAAAACACTCAAAAGTGAATAAATTAAATTAAAAACAAGTATTTAACAAATATTTAATTTTAATATTTACAACTACTCATCAATTTAAGTTGGAAATAAACCCGCGGTGACTTATGAGGCAGTATTCTCTCCAAACTCTTAAATGAGGCTATTTACTAGGCATATCTGCTGGTTTGTCTGCACAGTGATCACAACGACGGAATGTTCCGTTGAGGTCTTGCTCACAATTTGAGTATGCCATACCGATTCCAAAACCGCCACCCATCAAGATTGGCCACCTTCTTCTTTTAAAAAATAACAGAGAGAAAACTGTGCCTAGTGCCAGGCCTCCACCTAAAATATATAGGTTAGGTGATGACATAATCCAGGAAAATGTTTTTTAAGAAACGGGTAGGGTATTTTGGAAATAATTCATCATATATAGGAATTGGATGATTTCTCACCAAATTTTAGTAACCCATCTGAAAAGCATTTATCCCATTTTCGCACTAGTTCTTCCTCAACATATACGGGAGCCGCCATTTTTCGAGGTAAAGGTCCGAAGAAATGTCAACACAACTTTTCGAGAAAATACGATTCCACTCTATTAAAATTATTTCATACAGTGGTCATTGAAGATTCGAAAATATACATGATTTTTTACTCATTCAAACACATTTTCACCTGTATTCAAAATCAAATACAAATATATGACATTTTTCATTTTTTTTAAGTTGTCATTTGTCAAAATCAATTAATACATTTTAGTTCTAATGTTCAAGGAGACTAACTACTTCCATTAAAAAAGAAGAAACTGACGTGTTCAAAATTCTGTCTGGAACTATCAAGCAGTCAAAAGTCACATTGCTAACATTCCGTATGTTCTGCGTCATCGGACGTGACATTTCTGTATTTTCGGGATATGTATACAATTTAATGTGATAATAATCAAATTTTAATCATATTCCTGGAAAAGTTTATAAATATTGGAAGACACCATGTTATCGTTAATGAACAGAATATTAGACTGGTTCAAAAGTTTATTTTGGAAGGAGGAAATGGAGCTGACTCTCGTCGGTCTCCAGTACTCTGGAAAAACAACCTTTGTTAATGTTATTGCTGTAAGTACATAATTATATTAACAGCTTGTTTTTCAATAAATGTCTGTTATATTCATCTAGTCTGGCCAGTTCAGTGAAGACATGATCCCAACTGTTGGTTTCAACATGAGAAAAATTACCAAAGGCAATGTAACCATCAAAGTTTGGGATATTGGGGGCCAACCTAGGTTTAGGTCAATGTGGGAACGCTATTGTAGGGGGGTAAATGCTATTGTGTAAGTAGCTTCACAGCATTGTCAGTTTTGATATGACTCACTAATCTGAATCATTTCAGATATATGGTGGATGCAGCAGATTCAGATAAAATAGAAGCTTCAAGAAATGAACTACACAATCTGTTGGACAAACCCCAATTGGCTGGAATTCCAGTTTTAGTTTTGGGAAACAAAAGGGATAAGCCACAGGCCCTAGATGAAAATGGTCTTATTGAAAGAATGTAAGTTCCTATTTTGTTCATGAAAATAAACACTCATATTCCTCCAGAATGATAAATGGGATTCACTTTCTTTTAACAATGCAAGTGAAAAACATTTCATTATGGCTTAATTTCATAAGTTCATTGTCTGTATAATGAGTGAATAAATATGAAGAAAGAACACAAATTGAATAGGTACTTTAAATAAAATTTTTTATAACTCATATACCTAGGTATAATTTTTTTTCAGAATTCATTAATCTTCTGATGATTCTTTAATCTTGATTATATGCCTATATTTCTCCATACAGTAGAGAGATTAGCCAGGAAAGTGCAATATCTGTTCATTGTTTTCACTGCAAATACAGATATATTTTTCAACTGAAATGACTGTTGATCATTTTGTTTTTTAGGAATCTCTCTGCAATTCAAGATCGTGAAATTTGCTGCTACTCTATTTCATGTAAAGAAAAAGACAACATTGATATAACCCTGCAGTGGTTAATTGCTCACTCAAAGTCTGGAATGCGCTAAATGAATTAAATGTTATTATTATCGTCTTGTTTCAGGGCAAAATTTGTCAAAGTTAACATATTTCTCACATTTGTTCTGTCACTTTTCAAAACACTAAAAGTTTAAGTTACATTGCATGTTCTTCAAAGTCATAAAAATTATGCAGTGGAGCTTCAGAAAAATTGAATACCTCATAGGTGCTACTGCTTACTTGGATGAAATGTAAGTTAAGGTATATGAAATCAATATCACCTACTTTGATATTGAAATTTATTCATTTTGAATATGTTTTGAAGGAATTTCCTTGAATGCTAGCATAACCCAGATTTTTCAAACAGTTGATTCTTGATACAAAACAGAATATATCAGTTATAGGGGAACATTTTTTTACTCACATAGGTATTGAAATTGAGGAGATTTTGACTGACTCTGCACTAAAGTAAAGACTGATGATGAAAGTATGTTTACTTTGAGTGAGGTCACATTTTCCATGCTTATGATTAATCTTGGATATATAGGGTGCTCTGTACTGACTTGTTGTAGAGGAACCTTACTTCAACTGGAGTGAGTAATATTCAATTTGAAAAATTGTAAATCACAACTCATCTTGAAGAGTTGATATTTTTTGTGATCTGAAACTAGCTTATTCTCTTTAGTTATTTCTACATCAATTAATTTCTCAGAATAAAATGGTTTTGAGATTGCAAACAGTGATCTTTGTCATTTATTATCACTTTTTTAACTGAACTGTTTCAAATTTGATATGTATTATGAACTGTTGAAATTATTGCAAGTATATAAGAAGAACACCCCACCCTGTATTAATTTGAAAATCGAGAACCAAACTTTTAGGTAATATCCACTTGCTGATGTGTAGATTCTAAGTTGAAATAAATCTAGAAATATCAATATTACACACATGTTGGTTTTGTAATTGATTGTATGTCAAAAATGACAAGTTATAAACTGTTTGTAGCTTTGGTAGGTTCTGGTTGATACAGTTGCATAGAACTTAATGAGATTTTATGCAGTAGTTTTTTAAATTATTATTTGTTACTGATGTGTACAGTGAGATTTTTTGATATATATATCATATATAATAATTTTATTTTTATTCAATTTAGAGTAGTCAAGGCTATATTGATAATTTATTTATTATTATGGAAATTAAAAGCGATTATTGTCTTTCTTTGTAATAAAAGAGTTAAAAGCATTCTGAATATAATTTATTCAAATACAGGGTTACATGAGAATACTTCTGTTTTCTAAAAATAACATACTCAGTTTTCAACCAAATTAAGGAACATGATCGATCGTAAATTTCATTCAAGTACTATGATGAGCTTCCAACAATCATATATTAATATATGCAACAATATAAGAGGACTTCAAAGATAAGAGAAAAAAACATTTCATTGGTAAAAGTAGATAGTTTTGTTCAAAAATAAATGTTGATAATATTATTATCAAACTTTTGATAGTTATTTACCATAGTCTTTAATTTGTATCGTTCTTATTTATCATTTTTTATTGCTTTCAAATTATCTAATATTGACTTATAATAATTTGAATAGCATTAAAGAAAAATATTTGAACACTTATTCATTAGCAGTACAATAACAAATGAAGAGGAATATTTTTTTCAATGTAAATGTTGTATATGTTCAGAAATAATTAGTATTGCATTAATTAGTAATATCTAAAGATAAAGCAGAATGTCCTATACAGGGTGTCCGCTAAAAGGAGGTCAATCCATTAACCATATATTCCTTGAACAAAAATAATATGAGTTTCTAAATACCATTTTTCATTTTAGCCCTTCTTATTCGATATACAGGGTGTCAAAGTTGAAAATTAAAAACTGTTTTTTTCTAATTACTCGCGTAATTAATAAGATATTAATCTCAAAATAGGTACATTACTTCAGCACAAAGAGTTACATCGTGTGAGGAAAACAAAACAGAAAATAACTGTCAAATATTCAAAATACTGGGGGTCAAGTACACACTTACCCCATATTTTTTTTGGACGTGCGCTAATGACTTCCTATCTATTTTTCTTCATGTGTTCAATCATTTTTGAGTATTTTTTGATTTTTGTAAAATTCCGATAAAATTATTTGTTTTTAAGATAATTCGAAAAGTACTGGTTATTGTTTGATGCCTTGCGGCTTACGGTGATCTCATAATGTTCACATACTCCTATTTATTTCGTCGAAATTGGAAGAGGGCGTATCTTATTACGTACGGAAAGGTGAATATGGAAATACCGGGTGCTCAGAGCGAATGTATTAAAATAATTTTTACACTTTTAAAATTTTTTTTTTTTTTTTTGTAAAAATTATTTTAGTACATTTGCTCCGAGCACCCGGTATTTCCATATTTACCTTCTCGTACGTAAAAAGATACGCCCTCTTTCAATTTCGACGAAATAAATAGGAGTATGTGAACATTATGAGATTACCTAAGCCGCATAGGCATCAAACAATAACCAGTACTTTTCGAATTATCTTAAAAACAAATGATTCAATCGAAATTTTACAGGAAACAAAAAATACTCAAAAATGATTGAACACTTGAAGGAAAATAGATAGGAAGTCATTAGCGCACGTACAAACAAAATATGGGGGTAAGTGTGAACTTGACCCCCAGTATCTTGAATATTTGACAGTTATTTTCTGTTTTGTTTTCCTCACACGATGTAACTCTTTGTGCTGAAGTAATGTACCAATTTTGAGATTAATATCTTATCAAATACGCGAGTAATTAGAAAAAAACAGTTTTTAATTTCCAACTTTGACACCCTGTATACCGAATATGAAGGGCTAAAATGAAAAATGATATTTAGAAACTCATATTGTTTTTGTTCAAGGAATATGTGGTTAATGGATTGACCTCCTTTTAGCGGACACCCTGTATAGTTAAAATCAATTCATTGCAAGAAAACGGAAAAATTCTACAGGTTGAAACAGAAACCCCTCCCACACTAATTATTTCTTCTTAAACATCCTTTTAGCCTTAGCACCTTTCACAGCCCCAAGTTTTGCAGCTTTCACAATGTTCTTGTATTGGCCGGCAATCTTATGCTTCTTCCTGTTGGAAAATACAGGGTATAATTTGATTGATGGATAACAATACAGGGTGGGCCACCAGTAACGCCTCGGTCTCTAGAAGGCTAACCACTTATCTTCTTGAAATTCTTCCTCTCTAGGAAGTTGCATGTCAACATAGGCTACCATTTAAAATTATTTCGAAACATATACAGTCCCCAAAAACCATAAAACACTGAAGTTAAACTTTTTTTTATCGAACACCCTATATATTATTTCATTTTGAGATTCTCCCTGATGAGCTGATTTGAACGACCCATCATAATAATAATAATAATAATAATTTTATTGATCTTAGAAACACAGAGTTTATAGACACGTCACGAAATTTGAGAGCAATTACCTACAAGAGCAAAGTTCATAAAATTACGACAATAAAGTACATCAATTCAAAATATAAAATACAAATACTACATATACATGCTGAAATTCATTGGCGTTACTCAAATGGAATACCGTATTTAAGAAAATAATAAATTCAATAAATTCAATGTTCAAGTTTGACACAAGTTTGACAATCATTAAAATCAAGAAAATATGTGTAGAAAAAGTCATTCACGCCACTCCAAAAGCATCCCTATTTCTCACAACTATTTCGGAAAATTCATGAATGTCATACAGTGGATTTTCAATCAAAATATGCTTCATGGCCTCCTTGAATTTTTTTATTGGCAGTTCTCGGAAATCAGTTGGCAGTGTATTATATAGTTTGATGCCTATATTATCTGTTTTTCTCAGTCTATTTGCTTTCAGTACCAGGTCATTTTTGTTTCTTGTGTTATATTCGTGCACATCTGTGTGAGTGGAATATTTCATCAAATTCAATCGAATATTCAATAGATTTTCGTAGACAATAACTGAATATAATATCATTACTTTGAGATTTTTGAATAGTGGTCTGCACGTTTGATCAAGTTTAGCTGATGCTATACTTCTTATGGCAAATTTTTGTAGCACAAATACTCTTTCTAAATGAATTTTTGATGCACAACCCCAGGATATTATTCCATACCTAAGAACTGAATGGAATATTGAATGATAAGTCAAAAGAGCTGCATTAAGGTTCACAGATTTTTTAATCAGTCTGATTGCATATGTTGACCTGCTAAGTCTGGTACAAATGTTATTTATGTGGTCTTTCCAGGTTAAATTTGAATCAATTTGCACACCCAAGAATCTAACAGCTGCTTGTTCTATTTGATCCATGTTTCTCGTTTCAAAAGTTAATGTTTTAGTTTTTTGTTCGTTCAGTATCAGCTCATTTGCAGTGAACCAATTTCTTGCTTTCTCTACTACTACATTCAAAATTTGCTGAGGAGTTACCAAATCGTCTAAAGCTATACTCAAAGTGGCATCATCTGCATACATTGTAGTTTTTATATTAGATGAGTTTACTAAGTGTGGTAGATCATTGATGTAAATGATAAAGAGGAGCGGTCCTAGTATGGAGCCCTGAGGGACACCTCTTATCAATTCTTTTTCATCACTACGAGACTGACCAAATTCTACAACCTGGAGTACTTGGGGTCTAGCAGTTATAATTACTGAAATATAGGGTGTGAAAAATCGAGATTTTCCAAGTTCAAGAATTTTTTGTGTCGAAACTATTCATAATTGGTCAAAACGGCTTACATGTCCCTATCTCAACTTTTGATTAACTATCTACTGATATTTAATTGGGACATATACCGGGTGATCAAGATTCTGAATTCTGCACCACCTTTTATTTGTTTCAGTTAAATGTCAGTAGATAGTTAATCAAAAGTTGAGATAGGGACATGTGAGCCGTTTTGACCAATTATGAATGGTTTAGACACAAAAAATTCTTGAACTTGGAAAATCTCGATTTCTCACACCCTATATCTCAGTAATTATAACTGCTAGACCCCAAGTATGATGGATTGTTGAAATCAGCTCACCAGGGAAAATCTCAAAATGAAATAATATATAGGGTGTTCGATAGAAAAAAGTTTAACTTCAGTGTTTTATGGTTTTTTGGGGACACCCTGTATGTTTCGAAATAATTTTAAATGGTAGCCTATGTTGACATGCAACTTCCTAGAGAGGAAGAATTCCAAGAAGATAAGTGGTTAGCCTTCTAGAGACCGAGGCGTTACTGGTGGCCCACCCTGTATATGGTTCCTTAGCTCATTTCGAGAAGAAAAGTTCATATAAACATTTGCTGTAAACCTCTCAACTTTCGAGCTATAGTGTGTTAAATTTTCTCTTCACTATTGATCAAAGAAACTTTCACAGTGTAAAAAACTACCACGTTTTTGAATACTTGTCAAAATAAGACCGCAACGTTATTGATCTAATGTCATTATTTTAAATACAGAATAGGGCACTAGCTTACTGTTCAGAATAATTTCATTATGCCACTAATGCATGAAAATGGTTTTTATTTTTTTATGCGAAAACGGTTTGTCGGATGGAAAAAATTCAAGAGGTCAAATTGTTGCAAAATAAATGAGGAATTCAAAAATTAATTTTTTCTGCAACCGACACAAAAGTCGTCCATTTTGATACTGAAATTAGCTCTTAAATTGACGTTTCTATTACTGACACAAAAATAGGTATGTTGCTAGGCAACATATTTAGTTCCTAGGAGCTAAAGTTGAATTTTACTTCCTAGGAGCTAAAGTTGAACTTTAGCTCCTAGGAACTAAAAAGGATATACTGGACGTTATCAAGATTAAACAACATTGTGACGGCTGGTTATTTGGGTTGAGACGCAAATTTTGCTTTCGCTCGGCTTCGCTAAACGCTCCGCCTCGCAAATGCAAAATTCGCTTGTCAAACAAAGTGTCACTTTTGATCCTAATAAAACAATCTACTATTATTTTCGGAAGCAGCAAAGGCGTTCAAGATTTTTTTAGAAAAATCACCAGTATACATGCCATACGGACGCCACTGGTAGAAATATTGAAAAATCTCATGCATCAAAAATGCCTATTTGTGCTTAGTAGGTGCATGTCAAATTTTATGAAAATATCTGGAACAGTATGGAAGTTATGACAAGAAAACGAATGTATTCTTAAAATTTACCTTTTCTTCTTTGAATGAGTTAAGGAACCATTTCCTATAATTTTACCCATCAATTAAATATCACCCTGTTCATTATTCATGGAATATCAGTAAAAAAAATCACACAATACCTTTTATTGAGAGTGGATCTTTGCAGTGGCATGTAGGCATAAGGATCCATTTTGCCTTTTTTCTTCACGTCCCCTGTAGCTTTCTTGGACCTGAACTCGGAACCCGGATTACCACTGTACCCACTATGTACTGAGGATGTCGATGCGGCACCTGTCGGTCTAAAAATGAATCTTAACTTAAAAAAAAACAGAAAATGTGTTTACCTACCATAATTTTATTATTTATTCTAAAATTTCAACCTTTTTGGATATGTAGTACTTGAGGGTGATATCTAGAACCTTGAAAAACCGACTACTTTCAAGATAGCATTGAAAATTATACTATTTTGACAGTTGCAATACCATCCTTTCAAGTAATCAACCAAACTGATAAATCGAAATGATTACTTAGAGATTATTGCTCCATGACATTAATACAATCATTTTATGTGCACCCAATAGTTATCTTTTCTAAAGTTTTGGAAATTATCATGATTAGGTCAAAATCATTTGGAAAAAATATATATTTTCTACTCATTATCGAAATATTGTGAAAGAAGAAGTTAATTATCAATTTTGAATTTGTACATGCTCCTCACATATATTTTGTAGCCCCACTCAACTTTTTTATGTATTGTTCAGAAATGTTTGTGTGGAAACTATTCATATGCCAAAATGGTTTTCATGTCCCTATCTAGACTTTAGCTTTATTTTCTGCTGACATTTAATTAAAACAAAATACATGCAAGGTGGTGAAAAGTTCAGAATTCTGATGACCCTGAATCCGTCATTTCCTGAAATGCCTAGTCATTTCACGTATTGCCGGCAAACAGAGTAACTCTGAATTTTGTAGACCGTTTGCCTAATAGTTTCATGCATTCCCTGTAATGACGGAAGGAAGGTTGATTTAGGCCGAGTCAGGTTAGGTTGTTTAGAAACAGTAGTCTCTTTTGTTCTCTCAAGTAATTTTCCGAAAAATATACTTTCTATAGGAAGAAGGTTCATTTTTGGCGAGTTTGGTTAGATTTTGTTTAGGATAAGTAGCCTCCTCTCTTATGATAATGCAGAAAGGATATTTTTCTTCCTCAACCTTCCGGCAAACAGAGTAACGGCTGGAAATGACAAGGCGTTTCAGGGAATGACGGGTTTCACTAATTGACGCCGACATGTACAATATCCTTTTTAACAAGATTGACGTTTGTGACCTTCAAGTGACGTCACGACATTCTCGGTACTGGATTTTACCCATAAAGACATTAAAATGTCCTTATAACTATCATTTCATACATCAATTTCGATAAATATTCTTTCATGTTCATCTCAAAAAGAGTTATACCTGATAACCAAATCGATCCTTTAAAATTGGTCAGTTGGTCATCACATATTCAAATGCTCAGGAAAAAATATCTCCCATTGTTGGTATATTATAGGTACAAATTGAGGTCTTTATATCTCTTAAATACTTGAAATCAATTTGTTTCAGTTTGATTTAATCTGAATTGCTGTATCTGATATCAATCTGGGCTACTGCAGCAAAATCTGTTTTGAAACCTCTGAAGTCTCTTCAAAATAAAGCCATAAAATGTATTTATAAACCACCATTCATGGAATCAACATCTAGACTAGATATTGACTCTCTCTTCAACATAAAAGTATGCATTTTCATCCATTTCACTAAAAATAAGAAAAAGTACTGGAATCTTATATTCAATATCAATTCTAATATCCATGAGCATCACATCAGACAAAGTGAACATTTGAAAACTTTCAAAATAATGACCCAATTCGGAAAAAATCATAATATTGTTGTGGAATAAATATGAATAATAGTCTACCCAACAGAATAAAATCTATTAGGTTCATCATAAAATTCAACTCTCTCCTTGTATCAATTGATTCTGATTTACCTGTTCATCTTTCATGTCATTACATATTTGATTTATTTATTATTATTTTTTACATCCCTTTATAAACATTGTATGTTTCTTGTAATCAATAAATGTTATTATTATAAAAAGTATAATCCCACACCTGCCACCAAATTCCAACTTCTACTAACCTATGGATACCGACTCCACCAGTCTTATACTTCATAGGCGGCTGACTACTAGCAGCACTGAACCCGCTCTTGACACTTGAAGTGTCCCTTTTTCTCTTACGGTCAGTCAACAGCAAAGTTTCGGCAGTGCTCTGGGTGTCGTCTTCGGTGTCCGAATCGTCAGAGTTGAAACTCAGCTTGTTTTTCTTCTTCTTCTTTTTTGTGTCCGTCTCGCTGTCAGACGATTGAAGGTCTTTGATGATTAGTCTTCCGTCGGAGGACGTTTTGAAGCCGCGGTCTTTTTCTGGTTTTTTCTTCTCAGCGGTCGGTTCTAGGGACTGTCCGGGTTTGGTAGCTTCAAAAATACAAAGTTTCACGGTGTAATTTCTAATAAATTTTTTGAAATTTGCAATTTTTATCGCGAATGAATTCAACATCACAACCATGCAACTAGACTAGGGGCCAGGTAGCCGTGCGGACAGAGTGTCTATATTCTAATTCGCATTCGCTTGCCGGTCGTGGGTTCGATCCCCGTCGACTGCAGAAATTTTTCTGATGGCCCAAGAAAGTGTTTGGGATCACACGTTAAAAAGTAAGGCCCCCGTCATTCCTTGCTCGTACAAGACTCTCGAAGACTTTTGAGGGTTGCTCGTAAGGCGGCAACCGAATGACTGATAGAACAATTTTAGAACAATTTTTAGACAAGCAGATCATTTATCTGTCAAGAAAATTAAATCAGATATTCGTTAAAAATCCATCTATCATAATGGATAAATACAATAAAATTCACCATCAAATAACTTGAAGCTGATTAAAAGGATTGAAAAATTTTAAAAATAATTCAAGAAACATCTACTTCACTAATATTAACATCTTATCTTTTTTTCGTACAATTACTATAGTGTTCTATCAAGTACCTAATAGCTGAGTCAATCAAGAATCATTTTCAGTTGAACTGAAACAAAATAAGGATTTCTTCTTGAGTGTTAATCTCATTTTACTGTCTACTTTATTTTGTTAAATATATTTATATATTCGCCATGTTCCCTGCTATTAACAAATGTTGTTTTTGGGAATAATAAAGTTGCTTGATTGATTGAAAATACAGGGTGGGTCAGTGGGTCACGGTCATTGGCACCTTAGACGTTTGCGGAAAACGGGACATAGGATCATTCTGAAAATTTGGTTACTCAAGTAGTTGCTCTTGGTCTATCGATGTAAAATATTTTCAGCAATGCAGCGTTGCCGCTTATACCAGAAAGTAGTAGCAACTTTCAAATGGAACGACCTTCATTTCATCGCATTTCCAGATCTAGCGGGAATAATTACAGAGATATAGGGTGTTGAAAATCGAGATTTTTCAACATTAGGATTCAGTCAAAAAGGTCGCATGTCCCTATCTCAAATGTTGATTTATTATCTATGAATATAGGGACATGAAGGTCGTTTCGACGGATAATGAATAGTTTTGACAAAAAAAAATCTTAAAGTAGAAAAATCCCGATTTTGAACCCCCTTTATCTCTGTAATCATTTCCGCTAGACCCCAAGTGTGATACATCGTTAAAATCAGCTCTTCAGGAAGAATCTAAAAATGCAATAAAATACAAGATATTTCCATTTGAAATACAAAAGTTGGTGTTACTTTTCGATAGAAGCGGCAACACTGCATTGTCGAAAATATTTTAGATCGATAGACTAAGAGCAACTACTAGAGTAACCTAATTCTCAGAATGATCCTATGTCCCGTTCTCCGTGAACGTTTAAGGTACCATCGACCGTGGACCATGGTCCGTGAAACACCCTGTAAAGTCGACCGATAACGCGAATTTTTCTTCCAATTATTTTGTTTATGAAATTTTTGGCAGTTTGACCAAGAATGGAAATATTTTTTTACCTAAAAATCGATTTTAAAATTCTGCTGCGTAATTTCTAAATCATGACTGCATGTGAAGAATAGGAATAGTGCTTATTCCTTAACCTTACAAATTGATTTTAGGTTTTTGTTATCAAAATATTTTGGCACACACACCAACACTGAAATTTATTTTTTTTCTTATTTTTCATTGCACATAATATGTATGATTATGATTATATTCAAATCATTTTCTATTATTTGAGACAGAATGAAGTCATGAAACTTAATTTTGATTTTCAATTTATAGGTATTCAACCTAGAAATAAAAAAATACCCGCGGCGCTGAAATGAAGTACCTGTAGAATTATCAATATGTTTGCTGAAAAAGGGTTCCAAAAGTGCCAAAGGACAAAAATTTCAAGTTCATTCGGGATAAACATTGCATCTGATAAATAAAAATAGTTATGTGATTACCTCTGATTTTACTAGATACAGTTGGATCGGTAAAATCTATAATACTATCAACATCTTCCTCAATCCAAGTCTTGGATTGTTTTCTGCCCTTCACTTTAGGCTCATCTGTCTCCATGTCCTCAAACTCAGAATCAGAATCTGCCAAAATTTCTTCGACGCTCTTCGGTTTCGCTTTTACTGTGAATTCTTCTTCGTCGCTCGACTCTCGCCCTCTATCGGCGTTTTTGTTTCTCTTCTTACGAGCGATCGATTTTCGTAAATTCCTCAGTTTCTTGTACATCACGGTATCGGTGGCTGGTACGAAGGGCGTTAGAGATTCGCTACCGAATTTTCTCACTAGCCGGTCCAAGATGTCGCGTATTTTCAATCTGAAGTGTCGCTTGCAGTCTTCCGTCATGTTTGTCAAGGCTGACATCTTCGAAAAAATAGTTTCAAATTAAAATCGGTTGAAATAAGTCCCAGATTTCCAGAATAATAATGAATTTATGATGAATAACCTTGTACCATATCACTAGACAATGAATTAACGTTTATATTGATTCTTATCAACGGGCTACTGGACTGATAGTCTTGAATTAATTTTTACAACACTCCTTATGCGTTTCTGAATTTCAGAGCCCATTTCAAATGTGCCGTCATGGCCGCCATTTGCTGCTTATTTATTGGTCATATAAATCTTCCATTCCCACTCATGAATCAAGGTTGTCAAGTCACCATTTATAAAAAATGATGTTAAGAGTCCTGTCGTTGAATAAAACTACATCATTCATTCATTTCAATTTCTTTTCAATCATTTATCGATTCAAGTAAAATCTACATATTAAATATTTCATTTGACCGAATAGGAGGAAGCCATGATACTATACTTATTCATTTGTGACTTTTTCGAGCAACCTGCTTGTCAATATACAGTGTGTCCCACTTACCATGCTCACCATGGGTATCTTTTTAACGGTGAGAGATACGAGGTCGGTTAAATGACACCAAATGTGGAGTTTGTCAAGGCCAACTATAATGTGAAAAAATCTATTCGTTTTTGTTTTATACGCAAAAAACAGATTTTGATCATTTTCATGTCTCCTCCGTAACTTCTTTATTTATGGAAATATTCAAATAGGAATTTCACATTCTCATGGCAGTTTTTCAGAGTGATTTCGAAAAAAATATGAAATTTATACCAACTCTTCTGAAATTTGAGATATCAGCACCAACTTTAGTTTTTCAAATGTAGGTCATAGCTCACTATGACTTAGTTACAAATAACTTTTTTTTCTCTTTCAGATGATGTGTCGCAGTAATAGTTTTGTGTTGATAACAACGGAGTCATCGTCATTATTTATACAAAAATAAAAAATTATTTGGAAGCCGCCATCTTGAATTTATAAATTTTAACAAAAAAATCATGATCTCCGACCTCAAAAACCCCCACTCACCAATTTTGAATGGAATCAGACCGAATCTTCTCCGCCGTCAATTTAAAAAAATGGCTGCTCCAAGATGGCGGACAAAATTTGGTCCGATTCCATTCAAACTTGGTGAGTGGGGGTTTTTGAGGTCAGAGATCATGATTTTTTCGTTTAAATTCATAAATTCAAGATGGCGGCTTCCAAATAATTTTTTGTTTTGTATAAATGACGATAACTCCGTTGTTATCAACACAAAACTATTACTGCGACATATCATCTGTAAGAGAAAAAAAAGTTATTTGTAACTAGGTCATAGTGAGCTATGATCTACATTTGAAAAACTAAAGTTTGTGCTGATATCTCAAATTCTAGAAGAGTTGGTATAAATTCCATATTTTTTTCGAAATCACTCTGAAAAACTGCCATGAGAATGTGAAATTCCTATTTGAATATTTTCATAAATAAAGAAGTTACGGAGGAGATATTAAAATGATCAAAATCTGTTTTTTGCGTATAAAACAAAAACGAATAGATTTTATCAAAATATTTTTTCACATTATAGTTGACCTTGACAAACTCCACATTTGGTGTCATTTAACCAACCTCGTATCTCTCACTGTTAAAAAGATACCCATGGTGAGCATGGTAAGTGGGACACACTGTATTTCTCATATCCCATCCCCATAACAAAATAAAATGTAAATATTGGCTGGAGACATGTTTTAGAAGCTGAGAATTGACAAGACAACGACCACAATCCTTGCCGTGTTGTCACATTTACCGGACTAAATGTCCTTGAATTAATATAATTATTATTTACACAAATTTCAGATTTTAGAACCTTAACATCGGTCGAAATAATCTGAAAAATATGGAATGCATAGGTAGTTGAGTAATGATTCTGTTCAAAGAATTAAGAAATAATAGTCCACTTACCTATTGGCTAGGCATACTTTCAGTCCAGTCTCTTTAATATGTATCATTTGAAACATTTCACATACCCTATTTTTGGGTTTTCAGCATATTGAAGATTAGTAAATAAACATTTGACGGAGTTTCATGGCATTCAAGTAAATAATAAAATTATAAAGGTCTAATGCTCTACCTTGCGGTATTAGCAGTATCTGATCATTTAATATAAATATTTCACCATTTCAAATAAAACTTTTTGATAATGAAATCTATGTTCTACAAAACGTTTCACTACTAATACTATTTTGTATTAATTTGAATAATAAAATCCCAATTGGGGTACTCTGCTCAATAATTTGAATGAAAAATCTCAGTGAAACCGAATAAAATATGTTTGAATCTTACCATCGATTCAAGGGAACTTGCCACCATTGGAGTAGGTAGTGTTGTATAATAAACTTTCAGGAAACTGAGACAAGAGGCTACAATTTCTCTTGTAGGGGAAGCCATAAGAGTACAAATATTTCCTAGAAGGAATTTGATGTTGTCCATTCCCAAGGCTCCTAAACACACAGAAAATAATAATACATATCATCATATGAAACAACATATTGGAAAAAGATGATCCAAATAAAGTCCTACAGGTAACATTTTCTCAAGAACATTCAACAATTGACTTCATCTTATATTCCATAAAAGCAGGAATCTTTAGTTTTTCAACTACTTTTCATTTTCTATTCACTTCTTTTTAGTTTGGCTATCTATAAAAACGTGTTTCATAAGTTTTTCAAAACTACCATCTATATACAGGGTGTTTCAGACTTAAATGTACATACGATACTGGCAGATAGAGGACACTTTGACGGTTTCAAATCACCCCCATTGATGTGTTTACCGTCTTTTATAACTGAGATACAGGACGTTATCTTGATTTTGGCAAAATCTTCATCTGGTCATAATTTTTGAACCACGTTGTTTAATCTATTCATACTTGGTAGAAATATTTCATTTATATCACACATCAAAACTAAATAAAAATTGAGTACAGAATCCAGGTCCGTCTTGAGGAAAAACAGAAAACTTGTTTATTTCAAAAACAACACTGTATGGCAAAATTTTGTGGATCTGTTTTGATATTTGGAAAGAGCAGGAAAAAATTAATAAAGTGACCTACTTATTACGAGCGCGCATCCAATTTGACAGATGGTTTATTATTATGTTTTGAAATATTCACCCCATTTGAAGGCATTTTTATTGAACTGTAATTCAAAATTCGATTTTGATACAAAAAAAATAATAGTTTTTAAAGCTGAACGTCATAAGAAGCAAATTAGGTGAACTATTGATAGATTTACCGCAGCTCATGAATCAATAGTGAAGAATAAAACGAGCCCTCAAAAATTTCCAAAACCACAGACGTTATTCTGTCGAACGAACAGATCTATCTATTTCACCCCAATGATGTTGAACTTCGAAGGACGTTATTATTTTATGGAGTAATTGGATTTCGAATTACGAGTTCAATAAAAATGACTCAAAATGGAGCCGAGTATATCAGAAAATAATAATGAAACATCTGTCAAATCGGATGCGCGGTTGTGAAAAGTAGGTCACTTTATTCGTTTTTCCCTGCTCTTTTCAAATATTGGAACTGATCTAAAAAATTTTGCCATACAGAGTGTTGTTTTTGATATAAAAGAAGTTTTCTGTTTTTCCTCAAGACGGACCTGGATTTTCATCCCAATTTTCATTTAGTTTTGATGGGTAATATAAGTGAAATAGTTCTACCAAGTATGGATGGATTATACAAAGTGGTTCAAAAGCTATGACCAGATGATGATTTTGCCAAAATCAAGATATCGTCCTGTATCTCAGTTATAAAAAACGGTAGACACATCAAAGGGGGTGATTTGGAACCATCACAATGTCCCCTATCTACAGGTATCGTATGTACATTTAAATCTGAAACACCCTGTATATATATATATATAGCTGATACACGGCAAACGTTGTTTTCCTATTAACATTTATTTCTAGAAAATATTTTTTTAGTTAAATATTTATCAACACACTTTTATTATTTTGTTTCCTATTTCTTTTTAGTTTAGCTATCCATAAAATTGTGTATCATTGGTATTTTGAACTACTATTTTTATTTTCTACTTCTTTTTAGTTTGACAATCTATCTCGTTTTTTAAACTATACTATCAATTTTCTACTTCTATTCAGTTTGGCCTGGAGTTGGGCTATCAATAAAAGCATGTTTCATTATAGTTTTTCACTACTACTATTTATTACAAATCTCTTTCGCCATAATGGATCCGTCATCTTGAATTTCCTAATTTTAAAGAATAAAATCATAATCTCGGACCCCAAAAACCACCAGATATCAATTTTGAATGAAATCGGATTACAAAACTTGTCCGCCATATTGGATCCGCCATCTTGAATTTTCTATTTAAAAAATACGACGGATTCTCATACCTACCGAATACGCACAAAAATGTTCATCGATCGAGCCGTTTTCGGAGGAGTTTGGCCACTAACCCCGTCACTGGGACAGGAGAATTTTATATATTAGATTATTCAAAATCAGAACACTGATAAAATATAATACAGAGGAATTTCAAAGAAAAAGATCAGTTCGAGGTACTCCTAAATATGTTCCAATATAAATCAAATAAATACCCAATATAAGGTCACTGCTATTCACATCATGATTTTCGAAAATTAACATGTGATTGCATCTGTCGGAATGCTTTGTATCCGGTACTGTACAAGATGATTATTTTTTTCCTTTGTTGTGAATAATTAATGATGTTTTGTCTCATGCACTCAAACGAATCTATTACCAGTATGAAGGAATTGTATCCTATTGAGAAGGAGAGCAATAACTCATGGTGTATGAATGTTTATAGCCAGATAATTTCTGTTATTTCCAGATGTAATTTGATATATGGCAACACTGCTTCACTCACTCAGTCGTTAGGTCAGTATTTATGAGTGGCAAGTTTCGACCGTTTGAATGAGACTGTGAATTCATTTGTGTTTTTGAGACCTCATAACCAGACATGTTTTTAATATAATAAAATTAAAAGTATCAGTTTGGAGATTAACAATCCCTCGAAGCAAATTTGGAAGCTATGTTGCAAGGTTGTAGCTATTACAGAAACGGGCGTTCAGCAATATTGAGAAAGTAAATTTGTAAATGTAACGTTCCAGCAACGTCACAGCAGCATGTAATATTGCTGCAAGGATACATCATCAAACTTCACCTTTCCAATATTGCTGAACGTCCGTTTCAGCAAATTGCTACGACATTGCATCAACATAACTTTCAAATTTGCTTAGTGGGATGAAAAATAAAAAAAGATCACTTCAAATCGTCAAAATCATTTTACCCGAAAAATTGTGCAGTATCGACGACAGAGCCAGAACGGTACAGCTCATCAGCTGAGGACTGCCCGCCAAACCGGCAACCACCATGGTAACAAACTCCTGCATCTTATCCTGCTCCATCAGCCTAGTCCCGATGGTGTTCAGCAGCTCGTAGGCCGTCGCCCGGCACTTCTCGTTGATATCCTTGCAGCACAGCACAGCCTCCGGAATGACTGACTTGATGAGCTTGCTCTCGTGGTCCATCTGCGGCTGCGCCTTGACCAGGTAGTTCAGGCAGCGCAGCCGGGCGCCCTTGCTAGACACAGCGGCAGTGCTGAGGGATTTCGTCAGCAATCTCTGCACTTCCTTCCGGTTCTTCTTCACGAACTCCTAATCCAGTAAAATTGAATTTTTACTAGGAAATTTATGGAGAAGATTTGTTTTCGTTCATTCTTTCGGGGTACCGAATCAAATTCTGAGGTTTGCTAACAAAATGTCGTGACGCTACATTGAAAAAATCCCGAAAAAGGTGAAAAATTTGATTGATGAACTAGCTTTCGTGGTCCATCTGAGGCTTCCGCTGAGTAGGTCGTTCATTTTTTCGGGGTTCTGAATCCAATTCTGAGGTTTGCTAACAAAATTTCGTGACGCAACATTGAAAAAAATCCCAAAAAAGGTGAAAAGTTTGATTGATGAACTAGCTTTCATGGTCCATCTGAGGCGGGGCTCCGACCAGGTAATTCAGGCAGCGCAGCCGGGCGCCCATGCTAGACACCGCGGCAGTGCTCAGAGATTTCGTCAGCAATCTCTGCACTTCCTTCCGGTTCTTCTTCACGAACTCCTAATCCAGTGAAATTGAATTTTTACTAGGAAACTTCTGAAGGTTTGTTTTCTTTCGTTCTTTCGGGGTACCGAATCCAATTCTGAGGTTTGCTAACAAAATTTCTTTATACAACATTGAAAAAAATCTCGAAAAATTGATGAGTTTGCTCTCATGGTCCATCTGACGTTGGGCTCTGACCAGGTTGTTCAGACAGCAATCTCTGCACCTCTTTCCGGCCATTCTCCGCCAAGTCCTAATCCAGTTCTAATCAAGTTGAATTTAATTTTTACTAGGAACGTTATGGGGTGGTTTTGATTCATTTCATTCGATACGTATTTCGGGGTACCGAATCCGAATCTGAGTTTTTTTGTATGTTGCCGAGGAAATTTTCTGACAATGAATTTAGTAACAAATATCTTTGGGCAAAAGGAGAAAAATAATGAAAATAAGTGATTTCAAAGTTTAGTATTCCATATTTTAGGAAACAATCAATATAAATAAAAAAATCAGTATAAATCAAAATATCACATTTTTTAATTAAAAAATCGTGATTTTTTGCAACTTTGCCTGTATTACCTTGCAGCCGTCGGCCTCGCTGCCACATATTTCTTCCAGCATTCTATAAGTTTTCTTCTGTTCTTTGCTGTTCTTGATCTTCGACAGGGACTTCACGTACTGCTGGTACAGGGTGTTGACGGTGTCGCGGTTTTTTTTTTAAAGAATAGTTGACAATTTTCTAGTTATGATAAAATAACTGACAAAATATCATGTTTCAGTTTAACCTGTAATTATTCTTCTTATCCAGGGTCAAAAAAAGAATGCATGTTCTTTCAAGATAAGTCTGACTTATGTCCGGTTATATTTATAATCGTCGTTGTAGATGTAGTTTACGATGCTGTTCTTCAAACCCGGCTGGAAGAACAATGTGTTTCAGTTTACCTGTAATCATTCCTGTTATCCGGCTCGAAGGACCATATGTTTCAACCCACCTATGAATATCCCTGTAATCCAGGGTCGAAGAACGAATTTGCGTTCTGTTCAGAAAAGTCTGACTCATGACCAGTTTTATTTATTATCGTGTTGAGTCATAAAAATGAAAAAGTTCAACATCTCCATATTTATGGAAAAATCATATAAATGAAAAAAAATCGTGATTTTTTGGAACTCTGCCTGTCCAGTTTTATTTATTATCGTCATTGTAGATGAAGTTTACGATGCTGTTCTTCAAACCCGGCTCGAAGAACAATTTGTTTCAGTTTACCTGTAATTATTCCTGTTATCCGGCTCGAAGGACCATATGTTTCAGTTCACCTATGAATATTCCTGTTATCCAGGGTCGAAGAACAAATTTATGTTCTGTTGAGAAAAGCCTGACTTCTGTCCAGTTTCATTTATTAGTATCCATATTTAAAAATCGAATAAATAAAAAAAAAATCGTGATTTTTTGGAACTCTGCCTGTATTACCTTACATCCGTCGGCCTCGCTGCCGCATATTTCCTCCAGCAGTCTATACGCTTTCTTCTGTTCTTTGCTGTTCTTGATCTCGGGCAGGCACTTCACGCACTGCTCGTACAGGGTGTTGACGGTGTCGCAGTTCTGGTAGGGCACCAGGGCGCGAATGAGGTCCAGGATGCTCTCCTTGATGAAGTGGTCCTCCGGCTCGTCCGAGGAGCTGTTGAGCCTTTCGAGGGCGTGAGTGAAAAGTTGCGAGGTCAGTTCGGGTCTGGCTATCGTCAAATATAACTGAAAATGGAGTTCATTGCAGGGTTGGCACGATTTAATCCATATGAATTGAGTTACTGAATCAATTCGTGAATTAATTCTACTGGCTTTACCTTTAGTGTAAACTAGTTTAAACTGAATTTTTCCAAAGGCATTATGGCAACCTACCATCATAAGCATCTGCCCACAGGCAGATACCTAACTTTCCTAATGCAAATTCTCAATTGATTCAATAATTTCAATCAATTTATTCATTTTTCAATTTATTCATTTTTTAGTTTATTCAATTTATCTATTTTCGAAATTTATTAAATTTTTTCAATTTATGAAATTTAATTTATGTAATTTATTCAATTTATTTAACTCATTCCATTTATTTAATTTATTCAATTTAGTTATTCAATTAATTTTTTCAATTCATTTAATTTATTCTATTTATTCAATTTATTCAATCTACTTCATTTATTCTATTTATTCAATTTATTCAATCTACTTCATTTATTAAATTTATTCAATCTACTTCATTTATTCAATTCATTCAATTTATTGAATTTGATTAATTTATTTCTTTTCCATCAATAGTTTCAATTTCGTTATGTAATGCTTCAGGATTTTTTAAAAGAATAAACGTGTCTTTGTCGCTGTTTGTATTTTGTTGAGGTACATGAGATTTGATTTTTTCGAAGTGAATCAATTCAAAACAGTCCGAATTATTTCAAAAAGTTGGACTTTTTGACTTTTTTTATAAAAGTCATGACTTATTTATAAAAGTCATGACTTTCCAACCTTGGCATTGTATTTAATGCTGGTGAACTTTGCCGACTTAAATATCTGTCAGCTTTGATAATTTCTTTGCATCGGAATATATTTTTTTTTACTCTATTTCTAAATTGTATGTATAATATTTTGGAAGTTTTCGATACCATCGGTTATTTTATTGAATTTTGAGGTCGCCTCATGTGTAAACTTTTGGTCCAAATGTATAATTTGCAACTTCAAAATGAAACAAGTTACATTGTCTAGAGTTATGGTCATGAATTTGGGAATTTCCTATTAATACGTACGAAATTTTCTTTAGGCTTTCTGTCGATAATATAATTGGAAATTGAAGAGAACAATTGAACAAAAAATGAGTTGATACTATTTTTGGAACAACTTTTGTGATCCTATATATACAATACTTGAGTGGCATTTTGGAGCAAATCGTCTTTTATCTCATTTCTCTCAATCAGACCTCAATATCAGGTATATATCTCATTAAAATGAAAAAAAAAAGTGGCATGAAAACGAACAAGATAATCAAATACCGACACCTCAAAACATAGTTGAGATAAGAGACTATAGTTCCAAAGTTGTGGCCAGTTTTTTTTTCGTTATCTTTTACCGATATTTTCGTAACTGGAATCAACAAATGTTGTGTCATGAAAATGATAGGTATAGTTAATTGATTAATATACTGACCTTTATAGTTTCTAGTGCGGCTAGTCTTTGTCCCTCCTCGTCGCTGCCAATGGGTTTTGTTGTGTAAACGTTGAACAGAATCGGAAGATAGTTTTTATCGAACCTGCTGAGTTCTTGGAGATCTTCCGGTTTTTCGGATTCTTTGGCGCTGAAGATCAGTTTCCTCAATGACGCCATCACGGCTAGCCGTAGTTCTTTCTTATCTGAGATCGCGGACCCCATAACTTTAGCTACAGTCTAAATGAAATTTCAATTCATCAAAACTTTTAATAAATCCATAAAAAGAAAGATCATCAACTAGATTACTAAAGTCCAAGTTGAATTACCCAATTTTTGTTTTCTACGACTTTTATAGTAGTTAATTGTTAGAGCAATTTAAGTTTTCAAACTTCCAGGGAAATTAAGCATAATTTTTTTTATTTTGCTATTCAGCAACCTATCAGATTTTGCAGATCTTATCTTATCTATTGACCATATTTTACTTGTGGAGGGTCAGCAGCAGTTACTGCCAAATTGAGTGTCATTCATTTGTAGAATCCATTGTATCTTGTCAATTTAAATTTATCCCCTTTCATAATTGTTGGTATCATGATCTGGAATTCAAAAGTTGGGAATTCTGGCATTGACATATGTTTTTCTGCAACCGACACAAAAGTCGTCCATTTTGATATCAAAATTACCTCTTAAATTGACGTTTCTATTACTGACACATAAATAGGTATGTTGCTAGGCAACATATTTAGTTCCTAGGAGCTAAAGTTGAATTTTAGTTCCTAGGAGCTAAAGTTGAACTTTAGCTCCTAGGAACTAAAAAGGATGTACTGGACGTCATCAAGAATAAACAACATTGTGACGGTTGGTTATTTGGGTTGAGACGCATACCTGATTTGTTTCCGATTTCAACAGATTTGGCATTTCATACCCATGCTGGAGATATAAATACACCTCATTATAGTTTAGTATTGGAATTATAAACATCTCAGCTAAGTATTTTTGTTTGATCAAGGAAGCCTTTAAGATTCAAATACTTGCTTGATCTGTATTTCATTCGTTATTCTCGGGATGGATGACTTGTTTTTGAATAATCACGGCAAGCAATAGTTTTTTGTCTCAAACAACGATATTGTTCAGCTTCATTTGATCATCAAGTCAAACACAGTGTAGTATGGAGAGGAATAAATAATCACTATTATCATTGTTGATATGCTCACTAACCTAACATTTTCCACGTCTTGTTCCTATCTGGCACTGGCGCGGTATTTGCCATTAGAGCACCTGGTCCATACACAAATATGTCACTCTGTGGTTGTATTTATATTATTGAAACCACAATTCGAACATCCTTGAAAACCTAACCTGCTGTTAATGCAGGTAAAATATTCTTACCACATGGATTATTTGTCAATATTTGTTGCATTGCATACATATGGCACGGCATTGGTGGTAACTTCACATATTTATTTGAGTTAATTGTTTCGGTTGCAGAAAAAATAGCATGTTTCATTCGGATCAAAAGTGACTTTGTTCAACTCGCAAATTTTGCTTTCGCTCGGCTTCGCTAAACGCTCCGCCTCGCAAATGCAAAATTCGCTTGTCAAACAAAGTGTCACTTTTGATCCTAATAAAACAATCTACTATTAATCAGGATCAAACTTTCATCAAGATTCAAATTTCTGATGAATCAATTTTCAAAAATGGCAGTCATGTATTCCACTATTAAGGTGGCCTTCCACACCAGCTTTTTGCTGCTAGCTTTTCGCGGTGAGCCAATCCGGTTTCTCAAAATTTGTTGGTCCAAGTTTTACTTTTCAGCGGCAAATAGTTTCACATCTTTGTCTAATTTGACGCTATGCTATTTTGAAAAATATCTGATGGAATGTCTGTCAAAGGCATTTAAAATGTGACAGCAGTACCTGTTATTGGTATAATATTTCAAGTATAAAAACATTAATAATTTAATAGAAAGAGTTCAATTTGCTGATAATGGTCGACATTTGAAGTTGTGCTTTCACCAATTCTAAACTCTCGAGCCACTGATACCATGCTGTCGCCACTAGTTATATATCTGAAGAAAGAAAACAAATAATCAAACAGGTAATTACCTGATCAGAAATTAATATTCTTACCTTAATGTTAGAGACAATCTCAAAGAACCTGATAGAGGTTCTCGGTAGGCTTCTACTTTAGATATTTGAGGACCAACTAATTTAAGCAAAACATCGAATGAATCAGGTGTCATTCTTAAATGGTTGAATTTTATATTATATTCTACTGACAGATAATGAGATGAAGCCATCTGACATTTCATCATTAATCTGACTTACAAAACTCAGCGTTTTTTCTGCTCTTATGGAAATGGTCAAAAATAAGCAGCAGCACTTCTTCATTAAAAAGTTACTGCAAGAAGCTGGTATGGAAGGCGCCCTTTATGCTGGGTTTATAGATTCTACTAAACTAAGAATTAAACTAACAACTATGAACTCAAATAGTTGAATACATGGAAATAACATTTATGAGGGTTTATAGATTTACATCTGTCAATTAAATTAAGAATTATAAATTACAAAGTTGGCCAACTCTCAACTTAACAACTAAGAATTAGGAAATTCTCGAGACAAAACATGAAGATGGGATTTGTTATTGTTCAAGTGGAGTTTAATGATATTTGATTGGAATATTTTTTATGCACTCATGAATTATGGAGACGAAAAACAAAAAACAATAATTTCCTACCTTGAAGTTATCTTTGATATCTGTGGGATGATTGCAAAAGCAAGGCAACAAATTCCAAAGCTGTAAATATAGCAGTTCGGAGCTGTGGGCACCAATACCGTCATTCGATTCAGCTAGTTGTACAGATCTCCTGTGACAAAATAGGGCTAGCGGAAGAATGCCTTCCATAAAGTAGGCCAGAGTGGAGTACTTTATATTTTCTTTGAGAACAGGCAACAGCCAGGACCTGTCTATATTCAAATCTCCATTTGGTTTCTAAAAAAAAATTTTTTTTTTTCTACAAGCGTGCGTGATTCACCCTATACCCGCACGCAATTTAGTTTGGGAAGTGTCTTTCTCCCGAAACATTGCGGGAAAAACAAAGATATGATAATATGGCAAGATATGAGTTGTAGGTGATGGAATATGAGAGTTTGAGTTTGTTTGTTGCAGTATTGAGTATGTATGTTCAGAATCTTCCATCAAATTGCTATATTATTGTGAGAATAAAAAAAATTGAGAAATAAAAATTGATTATTATAATAATCCCCCTATAGATTTGGATTGATCTGATGGGAAACGATTATTGTTGTCATGCCAATCAAACCTAAAATGAGTTTATAATTGTCGAAGTGACAGCCACAGCGTTACTGTCATTTTCGATTCAGTGGAATTGCCACAATGTGATCAAAAACTTCCAGCTATAGGGATGCGATACAGATGCGTTATTGTCAACGAAGTCTTAAGAAAGGTATGAGAAGCTATACACGTGTATTATTGAATGGTGCAACAATAAAGAAATGAAAATACCGAATAAAGAAGATGTATTTTTGGCTCATTTCCTAGAAGTGTCGGAAACATAGAGACCAAACACCTTATGGACCTGCTGGCTTCCGCAATGAACCTATACATAATGCGTCAAACTGTAAGTTCACAATAGATATTACTAATAATCAGTAGATAGAGAATATATTTCTCTTGTTAGTTGTTCCTATATGAATGAATAATTAATTGAACAAATCAATCAATATCCTACGATTGAAGAAAAAATATTGTTCCTAACTCATGCGTAAAGTGTCTTTCCCGCACTCGACTGCTTGCCCGAACTCCGCTTCGCGTCGTTCGTGTCAACGGCAGTCGCGTGCGGGAAAGAATCGCTTTCCGCACTTGTTAGGAAAATTACTATTTCGTCGACCTCTACAAAAAATCACATTTTACGTTCTAATTTCCGAACGAAAAACCGATTACTTTTCGTCCGCGGACACTAACTTTTCGTCCTCAAACACTTTTCGTCCGCTGCAGGGCTGCCAGTTCTACTGAATTTTCAGTAGATCTCCTGATTTGCATATTGATCTTCCGATCTACTGAAACATTTCATAACCCACTGAAAAATATGTTGACACTTATTAATTATTTTAATTACCTATATTATTATTATTAACCTTTAGTTAATCACATACACTTATAAATTGCATGCTATTTCGGCACTCTCTGTTCAAATTAATTTTACAAAATGAGTAATAAATTTACATATAGGTACTAATGATATGTATACATCAAAAAAGGATAATACTTCATCTGATTCAGATCAAATTTAATTTGTTATATACCTCTGTTATAACAGTTTGTTTCTTACGTTTAATTTTGTTATTCGTTTTGTATTTTTGTTGTTAATTTTTACTATTCGTTCCTGTTTTTTATATACTCAATTCTTCTGACATTCGTAACTATTTTCAAAGTGAGAATTAGGAATATGATAATTTTTTCATGAGAATGTTTGTTTTGTTTGTTTCTATTTTGTTGGAAATATGTTACTTTTCTGTTTACTAAAAGTACATAATGTTTTGACGTCATAGGTTTATTTCATTATATATTATATATTAAACAGATCTATTGAAATCTACTGATTTTTGACAAGGTATTTAGTGATGGAATAAAAATCGAGCTGGCAACCCTGGTCCGCGCGGAGAATGAGTTGACAACAACTGTCAAACTGTCATTTGTTCTTGGAAAATTAATTATTCACGAAATCCGATAGATTTCACGTGTGAATAGGACTGTGATGTGAATAAGGTGTTTGAGATCGACGAAAAAATTCAATATGCCCCTCAGCGAAAAATGTTCTATTGTCTCGCCTGATTGCTAGCCTCGGCTATCAATTTGCAAACTCGACTATAATAGACAGTGTTTCGTCCTTGCTACATAAATATCTATTACAGATAAGCAAAATAAACATCTATACTATAAAGCATTATAAAGTAATGAATGTAGTGTTGTCAAACTAATAATTTATACGGAAATTCCGGAAACAGGTCAACTTCAATTTCCAGTTCACCACATTTTGAAGAAAAATGGTTGATGCATTTAAAGAGCCAAGCAATATCTACGGTCAACTAGGCCTCCTCAGTCGCTCTCGGTCTGCTGACACCGTGGGACTCCAATGTCGTTATGTTGGATGAATAGAGTCAATTATGGTTTTTCTATGGTGACATCGTATTATATGGTATAACATTAATATCGTAAAAATTCCAAGGGGGATCACTTAGGATAGGATAAAAGTAAAATATTTAGAAATTCGGGCCTTTGGTTATTAAATCTTCTTCCACAAATTTTTGCGAGAAATCTAACCTTCAAAACTTTACAAAATTGATGTAAACAAGTGGTAAATTGGCATTAAAAATCAACCTGTTTCATGACTTGTCATAATAATGGATCGTTTGGCTGAAAATGACCGTATTCATTGCGTAATGTAGAGTAGTACCTTGAGTGTAATAACTCCAAGAACAACTTCAGGCCCCATCGACCTGATAGCAGACCCTACTGCGTGTTCTAATTCATTATTGTAGCTGAATTTGTATGAATCTCTGAGTTCAGCCAAGGATTTCAATAAACCCATCAACATATCTCCACAATGGGCACCTGTAACCTTCAAACAAACCACAAAGTAGACAGAACCAGAAAAAAATTGGTAGTAAAGTGCATCTAATTTGTTCAAAAAGTACTATTTCAACTCCCTTATTGTTACTTCAATAACTGAAATTATTCTCGAAAATAAATGCATATTACACAGGGTGTCTCTGTTGCTTTTAGATAGGTAGAACACTACAAAATAAGTTTGGATTGCTCAGTAAATAATTAGAATAATATCATCTGTATTGAAGATGTTTTTTTCAACACCTTGAAAAAACATTCATGTTCACATGTCGAAATTAGTGGCAACAATCAACATTGTAATGAAAATTTATATGAATTTGTCATTATATCCGACTCTCCTAGAGGGTGCTGGTCACAGGAGTCGTTCCGAGTAGTTATTACTTCATTATTTTCAAATCAAAATATTCCGAAAACGATATCCAGTTTCACTACAAATACCGTTTTGGTGTCAAATTGAATGATGATCTATTTTACCAGATTTTTTGAGATTTTCTCTATTTAATTATTATCTTAGTATCATTTCAATATACGTGTAGTAAGGACAAATCAGATGGTTTGCCCCAAAATGTCACTGTATTTGAAAATTTTCCTATTAGTAGTTCTTAGGGCACGGGGCCCTTCATTTTTAATGAAAACCCATTTAACCCCTTTTTTCACCAATATAACCACGGTATTATGATGATAGACATCGGCATTCAATTCAAAATACTGTTTCACCTCCATTACCTTCTAAAAACGGCTGAAGATGGACCTTTATGAGTCCGAAACATGTCCCCTTGATTGATTTACATCAGTATAATAAAGTAAGGAAGATTACTTTGAGATTTTCGGATCAAAAGTGACTTTCGACTCGCAAATTTTGCTTTGGCTGGGCTTCGCTAGACGCTCCGCCTCGCAAATGCAAAATTCGCTTGACAAACAAAGTGCCACTTTTGATCCTAATAAAACAATCTACTATTATTTACCATGTTATTTCTACAAATGTCAGTGACAAGTCCATTTTAGATCGGCGTCTCGGGAGTAGAAATGTAGAGGGTTGAGGTTGAATCAATGAATCACTATCGGCCACATTTAAAATGACATGCCATCAGGTGAAAACAGAATGAAGCCGACACTCATGTTACGGTCCTGGTCCGAGACGCTCGTAACTCTCAGGGCTACTCTGACTCAAGGTGGATAGAATATGGTGTTATCACAGACAGTGTTCTGTTTCTCCCAAAACGCTTGACCGCAGATTCCGCAATAATGGTATTTTTTTTTTTTAATTATTGCATTACATTCTTTTCTTCATTGATACAGTTTATACCAATAATACATAAAGTATAATCAATTTTCTAGTAGGAATGACATGAATGAGCAGACAGTAATTCCTGGTATAAGATCATTCATGAAGTATTATGGACTGTTGTATAATTGAAATAACAGTCATATTAGTTCACAGATTCCTTCCATGATAGAAATCAGAAAACGGCGCTTACACACCGGTTGCACCAGAAATAATAATTATCATAACATTCATAACATAACCTCAAATCAAATGAGATTAAATTTGAAAGTACGAAACTGTAATTATGGGTAATTTTAATTATCTTCAGGTCTACCAACCTGAAGCTTATCATAGGCTTTCTCACAGGACACGGCCCTCTGAGGTACCACCTGGCGGAGACTGACACTTGCCGCTTTTGTAACAATGCGACCGAAACCGCGGAACACATACTTTGCTCATGTGAAGTATTAGTCCGCCAAAGGCTGAACCACCTTGAACAGGTCTATCTCACCCCTGCTGAGGTGGAAAATTCAACCGTCAGGAAAATTGTAGGCTTCATCAGAAGTCTAGTGTTAGAGGACCAAAACTAGATAGGGGTAATCACAATAGATCTTCTAGGTCGCAGTGATCGAGAGGTCTCCTAACCTATATGACCCATCTACAATCTACCAACCTTGAATTTTGGTTGAAATTTCGCCACCTAACGGGTAAAATGAGACTTATATTCCGCGATATTGAAAAGGATCCTTCTGTCAAGTAGGCCTTAGGTAAAGAAATTTGACCGAAAGACAGTAGATGGGATTTGATAGGAGTTTCTACACCATCTTCTGTTTATCCTGCTCTGACTATACTCTGGGCGATTATTTCTAGTTTCTGGTTGAATGATGAATTCGCGAACAAAGTGTCCTTCATTGCAGGAGAAAAGTCGACGGAAAAAATTTTGAATCAACTCGTATATTATTAAGGCGATTATTAATGTTGGTTAAATAACTATTTCAACTTTCAACACCTTATACCGTTACAAACATTCTTCACTGAGCAACCCCAACATATCTTGCATTATTCCATCAATCCTAGTAACGTGGCCACCTTTCATCAAAACACCCTCTATGTACCTCAAACAACACGCTTATGACATGCAAGACCTGATGCCACACAGAATTGAACTGATAGCCCAGTCCCAACTGTATGGCATGAATGCACTTTTCAATTTTCGATCTGTGCTGTTTCACGGATCCTTCTGAGCCGCATGCGGTAGAAAGGGAATCTTTCAAGAGCACATCCAAGGCGTGAGTGGCGCAAGTCATCACTTCCGTCTTCTCTGACAGCCAAAGTTGGGTTAGGGTCTCGAACATTCTCGGTAGGGAAGCTACAGCAGTAGGAACATCGACACTAGAATAAGGTAGAGTCACTGGATGGTATTAGTTAGGGTCCCTTGATGTAAATTGACGTATTTGTCTTCTTAACAGGGTACGGACAGATCCTCGTCTCCTCTCACTCTAAAGTGTTTGTGAAACAGTTATATAGTTCCATCTTTATTCATTTCTGGAGATAAACACTAGATTTCTGACATTTGTTGTTTTTTAGGTTATATTGAAGACATTGGCGTATCATATGTTTTTGATTTTTCAACTCTAGCATAATCTTTGTAACTGTTCTTAGGCAGTACCTACCTATCACTAAATGAATTTTGATTTCAGACTTAAGCCTTATGGTTGAGAAATTGTGAAAAATTGTATGTAGGTATTTAAACTAATGTGCTCATATGTCATGTGCGCTGTATATATTCATGTTGGCAATCATTTTTGCAGTTTTTCACGAATACTTGATATTTCCTGAATGTAGGTATAATTTTTTAAATGGTAGGACATATCCCTCTTCTTTCAATCCTCCGTTTTTTCGAATTTTCCGATTTTTTTCTTCAAATTGCATATTTGAATATCTTATATAAATATATAGATGGCCCCATTGGAAATATTTTGATCCACCTTTTCAGAGGGGTAGTTTATTCTCATCTTATATAGATTTATAGATGCCACTAGTAGAATTATTTCGATCCACCCCTTCAGGGATGATTTGATGGAAAATACGGACCAGAAATGCTCGGTCAGCAAGGATTTTCGAAAAACAGCAAGGATAAACTACCCCTCTGAAGGGGTGGATCGGGATAATTCCACTAGTGGCATCTATAAATCTATATGAGATATCCAAATAAGTAATTTGATGGAAATTTACGAACCAGAAATGCTCGGTCAGCAAGGATTTTTGAAAAACTGCAAGAATAAACTACCCCTCTGAAGGGGTGGATCAGAATTATTTTACTGGTGGCACTTATATAGTCATATAAAATATTGTAATATCCAATTTGGAAAAAAAATCGAACCAGAAATGCTTAGTCAGCATACTTCAATAATTTTGGTCAGCAAATTATATTTCCCTGAATGAAAATACAAGTGATAGTTCGATCAATATTTTTAATATGTAACTGGTGTTGACATAAACATTTCATCAACAGTTAACTAGTTGTGTGAAGTAAGACGTTTCAAAACTCTCGTCAGTTTTGAAAAATCTCAAATTATGTGTCAAAATTAGAAAAAACTATTTTTATGTTTGTTAGGAGCAAACTTTTCCCTAGAGTTCCTAAATGTATGCGTCAAGTACATTTAGGAACTCTACTTTTCCCTACCAGCATGGGGAAATACTAAAATATACCCTAAATATCCATAAAAGTCTAAATATGTAGGAACTGACTATCTATAGTAATTTTCGAGATATACATCAGCATGTCTCACTTTCAACTTTTTTTTTAATTTCTCGCCACAAAAAAATAATGAATTCAAATTGATTGCAATTTAAGAAAATTCGATACCTCCGGTAGATAGAAAATAATGATTTGAAGAAAAAAACAAAGCATACTTTTGTTGTTGGTTTCCTGTGTGCCTGTTTTTTCGAATCCCTTCATAAAATTGACAAAAAAATTGGGAGTTGAAAACCATGAAGAACAACATTATGAGATTAGTTTTCCTGAAATGAAAATCCTAATAAGATTTCATGAAAAATCGACCCCTTCAATTTCAATAAAAACGCACGGCACTGTCTAAAATGATGTTTGTCTCTCAAAAATTCATCAGATTGATAGTCACGCTGTATACTATACTAGTCATCCGATACCTCAACTGATACCATTTCAGGTGAAACTAGAAGTGTCCAGAAAGTGAGAAATAAGTGAAAACTCTCCTCTGCACATACTTCACCTATACCAAATCCCATTTCTGTAAAAGTACCTTATATTCTAGAAGTAATGATTTCATCAATAGATTCGTTGATACCCGGTATGGTTATCATATGCTGAATTTGGTTTATTTTTTTAAAACCAATTCTATGTTCCTGAACGCGGTGGTTGAACGTTCTACCAATCTGACCAATATAAATACCTTAGATCAAGATTCGCATTTATTGTTTGTATTACTTCTGATTTTTGGAATTGTGAAGTTGTCTTTCTCATTTTTGATAAATCTTTAGACCCTGTGATTTGTTCTATATGCTACTGCCAAGTCTTATTCATTAAGCAATGAAGCTAATTTTTTGTTGACAATTGGAAATAGGTTAAAGTTCTTTAAATATTATTAAGGACACTCAGTAACAAAGCAATTCAAAAAGTTGAGTTATATATGTAAACTGAGAGGATTAATCTAATTTGAAATTCATTGAATCTATCACAGTCATCTGACTAATATTTAATTTTCCACATTAGTACTGAAATTTTTCGGAAATGATAAACATGCGGAAATATGAGTAATTACCACCACAGAAACATTTGTTTTTGTGAATTTTTCACTGTACTGGACATTTCTATGAAAAATTTTCATTTATAACAAATATATCCTAAAAATTGTTGAGACAGAAAAACAGAGGAACATTGCAATTGAAAAATTATAACAGGGACCTATATGGATTTGTTTGAAGAAGAGTTGAACAAAGAGGGCTAAAATAACGTTTCACTAGTTTAAATTTGAAACACACTATGGAGTATGGAGTAATTATTATGGAGCATGGATTTCTTGTAACCTGTAACCTCAATATTTCATCTTTTAATCCTCCCAATATGCCAATATTTGTATTTTTGTTGAAGATACAGGGTACCAAAGGAAACTTACTCTGCTAAATGAACATGTGCCTGCTGCATTACTGCAACCCATGCCAAAGTTGGTTGAACATCAGATATTGAAGGCTGATATTCATAAAGAGCTGATATGAGCTGAGCATTCAATTTGCCTGCTACCACAGCTTTCTGATCAGAAAATAATGAGTGAAGCACCTGGAGACCACAAGAGGTAACCAAGGGATAATTGAGAGTCATCAAGCGTAAAATGATTTCACAACATTTCTGCAACACAATTGTTTTTTAAAGTGTCATTGAATTTGGTATATAGGCACTTACCTTCAAATGTGGCTTGGAGAACTTGCAAATTATATCTTTCATTAGACCAAGAGTGTGTAATATTGTTGTTTGACCAGCCTGTACAGAAGAAACTAGTACATGACCAGAGCTGCCACCCATACAAGTTTCAAGAGTTTGTTCACAAAATTCAGCAGCAATGTCAGCAGCTGGATTTGGAGAATTTTCTTTCACAAAACAACCTGCATTTACAACAACTGCAACAGAATGTTGAGCTGCTTTTCTCCACTAAAATAAAAATGATATTCATGGTAAGTAAGCTGGCAATTATCAGAATATAGCCCATTATACAAAATTGGTCATTTGATGAATTTATGGTATGTAATATTATGACCATTTCTTTTTGGCATACTTTATGTAGGTATTCAATTTAATAAAATGCTATCACTCTATAAAAAACATGCCTCTTCAGAGTCTTCACTAATAGCAACTATATAGAATGAATATCAAGATGAATATCTAAAAATCAAATACATATATATTATGATGTATCACCTTTGGTTTTGTGTGAACACAAAATGGATTCAATATAGCACTGAATATTTGTTTGACAGTACCATGGCTCCACATAGCAAGTTCTTGAATTTTCAACAGAACAGTTAGAATGCCAAAAATTGATTTCATAATAATGTTATTATCAGACTCTGCATAATCTTTCAGGATGTGTAACATCTTCAGGGTAACATCATCAAAATTCTTTTTCAGCACCCCTTCAGGTATTGTTTTAATACTCATGTTCAAGAGTGAAAGGACTGCTGTGACTTGTTCCTCATTCCTGTCATCTGCATTATAAACTTGCTCTAGAGTTGTTAGCTGAAATATCAAGAAATTAGACTAATTCAATATAAAAATTTGATCCATTTACTAATGAACAGTAATATTCAGTTGGTGACTCAGTTCCACCATTATCTTTGATAACTTCTGTTATAGCAGCTAAAATAGCTAGCATTTCTTTATGTAAAGCAGAGTCAGCTCTAAAAACATTCATGAATCTGTTGAATGACACATTACTGCAGTCTGACCATTCTGAGGCAAATGATTGCATAGTTTTATAAGATTGACTATGTGATGATTCAGTGTCCTCTTCCATATTGGTAGATCCATCATTTTTAGGCAGGTATGTTTGTATAGCATCATGTTTTTTCAATGCATCTGATGTTAAACCACTGGGACCTGCGGACAGGGAAATATGAGAATAGGAACTTTGTGTATTCAAGTTACTAACCTAGGTTCTCTTGAAAAAACCTTGATTTCGCGAGATCTCTGTACTTCTGGGTTTCTGGGTTTGAACTCGAACTTTGTCCTTTAGGCCATCGTTTTCCTTTACTCTGTCCTTTCAATTTACTTCTGAATTTTCCCATTTTCAGAAAATATAATCAAAACATAACAGAGGTCTATGACAGAGGTTAAAATCGTGGTTAAAAGGAACACACACACGTGCAATGTGACATTGAACCTTCATTTTGACAGTTTTGAAAGCTATACTTCTCTTCTTCTTCTTAAATTTTTTGACCAAATTTATTAAGTTCTTCAAGTCATATATCACATAGTCTTATATTTCATTGAACTACTCTTCTCATATTCTCACCCTACCTCACCACAGCTTTCCTCATTGGAACTATTATTCTCAGATTTCAGAGATTTTTTTCAAAATTATTATTTTTAATTTTCTGATTCATAAATCATTGCCTAATGTCCATATATAATGTGCATTGATAACAAAATTATGCATTATGCATTATCACCAGTACACTCCAAATTTATATATGGCGCCTCGATTCAACGCATGTCAAGTTTGCGCAAGGAAGTAGAACTTCGTCAGAATTCGTCCATTTTCTTTTCCCAGCACCGGCCAAAAGAGGCACATGTGCTTTGTTACTTTTGTGTATTCATTTGGTAGTTGAAAGAAAAATAACATTCACAGTAAACCATAAATTCCAGTTCTCAACGGTCTCAAGTGTGTTGTGAACGGTTCAAGTGACATAAAGATAAAATGAACACCGAAAAACTAAAAAAATTACAATCACAAGTAAGGATTGGCGGCAAGGGTACCCCACGTCGTAAGAAGAAGGTTGTCCACTCGACCCAAGCAACTGACGATAAGAAACTGCAATCTTCCTTGAAAAAATTATCAGTAAATACAATCCCAGGTATTGAAGAAGTGAATATGATTAAAGAGGATGGATCTGTGATCCATTTCAACAACCCCAAAACACAAGCTTCTTTAGCAGCCAATACATTCGCCATCACTGGCCATGGTGAAAACAAACAAATCACAGACATGCTGCCAGGCATCCTGAACCAACTAGGCCAAGAAGGTATCACTCAGCTGAAACGGTTAGCAAGTTCAGTAGCTAATGCAGGTGTGGGCAAAATAGTTCCTGAGGATGAAGAGGATGTGCCTGATCTAGTTGAGAATTTCGATGAGGCTTCAAAAGCAGAGGTTGCCAAGAAGGAAGAAGAAGAGAAACCAAAAGAAAACTGAGAATACTGAGAAAAGCTTTACTGTTAGGTGTTGAGGTTTTACGTTCAGAGAACATACTTTCATATATTTATGAGTTGACTAATTCACCAAAACGTTTTTTTGTTGAAAATTAGGCATTATGTATAGAATATTTCCTAGGAAATATATAAATATTCTAATATGGTTGGTATTTCATTAAGTTTTTTTTGTTCAATCCTCACTATTCTTTATGCCTGAAATGATATGTAACTGCATAGGAGTGCTGAAAAAAATTTGGTGTCTTAGACAGAACATGGACAGAACCACTATTTGAAATAAAAAGTGTTCAAAGTGTATGCTCAGAATTATATTTTTCAATGAGTGATGTACAAAGAAGACCTGTGAAAAGTAAAATGTTTTATGTAGGTATCTAATGCATAGAAATCAGATGGTTCACATACTCCAGATGAGATTTATCATAATGAGAAAATTATGTTCAGAAGCTTTGAGCAATACATACTACCATCCTGCATACTGGGTACCTATTTCTATTTATATATTGAAAAAGTTGAATGTACAAACACAATTTATTTTATTCAGTGTAATCCACATTTTGAAAATTGGTATAGGTTCTCATCATAGACCTATTATCCCGTGGATAATAGGTCTATGGTTCTCATCATATATAATATACTTATGGTTTCCATATATGAAGGAAGGTTATGAAGCTACAAGAATACCTATTAAATCATTAAAATGATTATAGTGAGTTGAGTGCCTGAAACTGTAACATCCTTGACATTTATTCTTTTTTTTTTAGTCAGTATAGTTATATATATATATATTATGTTGAAGGTGCATACTGGTAATACATAATTATTATTCATGTATCAAGGTCCTAAAATAGGCTGTTGTGGACCACACATTTCCAAGTCATTAATAGAAAAAAATACTTTGGGGGCATTTCCTATTTCAATGATTTTTTTTAGTAAATTTTGAGGGTTTTTTTTTAGTAGACATATTTCTTCTACATGTCTCACTCTGACTCGAAATATTTAATGCTACCTGTCCATTTCCTATCTCTAGAGTCATGATCTAGAGTCTAGACTGACTCTAGAGTCTAGACATTTATATGCCAGTGGCGTAGCCAGGGGACCCGCCCCTCTCAAAATTCCGGTTAATGAGAAAGCCAAAATTCGAGGGGTCAACCACTATGTCCAATATGTGTACACTTGGTGTCCAATCCAATGTCCATTCTCAGCCCTATATATACCTTTTCTCGCAATGCAAATGACCAATCTCGTATTTTCAATATTCGATAATAACCGATAATATCTGTCCAATCCGTGTACGTTTTTGGGACATGACATCTCTAATGAGATGTCGCGATATGTTCTATTGCTGCGATGTATAGATTAAGCAAACACATCTGCCGCGACAAGAAATCTCTGAATTGTCGCGATGAGGCAATACTCTGCGATATTACGAATGTTCCATATTGCTGCGATGTACAGAACCAAACACATATGACATGAAATCTCTCTGATATGTCGCGATGAAGCAATAACACTGCGATATCATGAATGTTCCATCGCTGCGATGTATCAGAAGGAAACACATCTGCGACATGATACATCTCTGAGATGTCGCGATGAGGCAATACTGCGCGGTATATATCATATCACGAATGTTATAATAGTGCATCGCTGCGATAACCATTCGTTATATTGCTATCAAAATCAAACTATTCTTTGTTCGCTTATACATCTCACCGACACACACTACATACTTTTTCATACAGAGAGTATAACCCCAATCAGCACCAGACATCTTAAAGACGTACATTTTACGACTTACTTACGTCTTTACGTCCAGGGACGTATAAAGTACGTCTTTAAGATGTAAATCCATGTACATCTTAAAGACGTACACGAATTTACGTCTTTAAGACGTACATTTTAGGTCGTATCCACGTCGTTCCTTCCATGTCGTATAAAAGACGTCTTAAAGACGTACATTCCAGTACGTCAATTCGACTTATAGAACAATAATGTAAGTTATTTTCTGAAGAAAAACAAAATGTCATCTCTTTACGTTTTTTATTTTCAATTGTTCAGTTTTTTCTTATTTTCAACAAAAGTGATGTTTTTGAATTTTTTCGTCCGACATTTTGGAGCCTTCGTGTTAGATTCTCGAATTTTTTACAAAAAAATCATATTCTCCGACCCCAAAAGTCCCATAGTAATCAATTTTGAATGAAATCGGACTATAATCACAAAACTCGTCCGCCATTTTGAAGCCGACATCTTGGATTTTTCATTTTCGACAAAAGGAATTATAATCTCTGATCCCGAAATCCTTCAGATGCCAATTTTGAATCAGATCAGACCATATTCAGAAAACCATATGCCACATCGTCCGCCATATTGGATCCGCCATCCTGTTTTTTCCATTCAATAATAATATCACAACGAATTGTCACCGGAATAATATTTACTTGCCAAATTTCAAATCAATCGGACGATTTAAAGTGAGTCAAATTTAACTTGCACGTTTTGATTACAAACAGACACAAGGACATGTTAAACTAAAGCTTGTTATGTGATATATAGAACAGAGTAACAGAAGAAGTGAATATGGTATAATCATCGAAGTCAAGCAACAAAGAGCGCGGTTACCTACTTGGATGGGTGACCGCTTGTGTCTACCGTTTGATGAAGTCGTTTATTTCCCTTTTTTTTGCTTGTCTGCACTTGTTGCTAACTTCACTGCACAGGTGAAAATTAACTGAAACTATGTGATTTTTCCGTAATTTGAAAGATCAATTTGAGGTCATGGACCAAAAACACCTAAAAAAGACGTCTTAAAGACGTACATATTAGTGGAAAATGTACGTTTTAAAGACGTCTTAAAGACGTCTCTTGGGCGTAATATGTACGTCTTTAAGACGTACTTATGTCCCGACATGTACGTCTTAAAGACGCCTTTAAGACGTACTTTGGCTGATTGGGACTGATCTCGTTCTGCGATAGATATTATCGTAGGTATACCAATAGGTAGCGGATCCACTGAGAAGACGATAGAATGGACAGGTGGACCCAAGGGACCACTAACGGCACCAACCAGTCAGCCAGTCACAACACATAATCCATCATCCATCTGAAGTCAGTGGTGTGCCTATTATCACACTTGTTTGAATAGGAAACTTTTTTTTCGTTTTACTGCGATGTCATCTCGCATCACACGACCGTACTTTCATCGGAGAAACACAATAAAGCTTTTCCATCACAAATAACATATCGCAATTAAATTGCGGAAACTATATCGCAGCGACGACGTCGCATGGATGAAACTTGAGAGGGAAAAATAACATCCATCTGACATCGCAGCAACCGTCTATGCCACATAGAATGCGATATCGCAAGTCACAATTATTGTTATATATCGCAGCTATATCTATCTGTGATGTAACTGTGTTTGCTGGATAGAGCTTGCGCATTGAAGTGGTAAATATAGGAAGTTGCATTGTTGCATAAGCATATATATATATATATACACCAGAAGAAGTCGAGCGTACAACAAGTTTAGCCCTAATGAATCCAAACCAAACGACAAATTGCTGCTTGAATAAGCCCAGATTTGTTCATTTATTGATTTTTTTATTGTTCCTCACAAATCACTTAAAATCGGTTATGAGCCCCCCCTGAAATATACTTCTGGCTACGCCAATATAGTTTTTTTTTCTGTAGTCTATGATCTATCATGGATCTATCTGAGATGTTTATATATTATCAACATCTCAGATATATCTATATGCTCTAGCTCTAGAGACGATCTGCCTACGAGCCAGACGTTAGGTACGGTTAGGTTCGCATCGCTAGTATGTTTATTTTTGAGTTCATTGTTAACAAATCCAGTTTTGTTTGATGGTTGGCCTAGAGTGAGGTTGGCCTACTGTTAGGGGAATGCATTTTTACGTATTGGCTTCGCCTTGCAGGAAAGATGTAATAGCTCACTAGATTTTTTCTCCATATTTAGCAGACAATTCTTTGGTAATGACATTTTGTGTGGATTCTTCACGGATTAGTGGTCTTGTAAGATCCATCCTATAATATTAACAATCGCACAGTTAGCAATATACGTTTTACGAATGGTGCGACAACTCCAATTGAGAGTCCATGAAAAGAACAGTCATCAAACAGCAGAACAAAGTTAATAGGTTATTCAAGGATACCATATAACTCCATTTTTTTTTTTTTTCAATTCGATATATTCTACAAAAATGCGCGGATTTTGTACGGATTCCTGATATTATTTGCGCGGATTTTGTAGCCTGCGTGTCAGTATTTAGCCCTTTGCCCTTTCTAATGTTTAGCCTATAATAATCCATTGGCAACACTGTGAGTATGAGAGGGAAGGATAGAGTTGTCAAGTTTGTCAACATGAAAAGATTGTCAAGTCAGCATTGTCACTATATATGTCAACAAGAAAACAGAAAAATAAGCAAAACTTTTGAGGGGGTTGGGCACAGGCACAGAAATACTGCAGAAAACCAAGATCATACGTGAAAATCAAATTTTCAAAGATGGGTCTCTTTGGAAAAACTCCAGAGAGAAGTCCAAAGGATATGGTGAGTTTATTTTGTAAATATACCAAAAAATATAAATAAACATGACGAAATTTATCAATTCCAGGTGACAGAATGGAATCACAAACTGAGAAAAGAAGGATACCAATTAGAAAGACAAATAAAATGTAGGTGGAAATATTTTCTCTATAATAAATATTGAACAGTATTCTTGCTTCAGCAATTCAAAGAGAGGAAGAAAAAGTGAAGAGAGCTTTAAAGGAAGCAGCCCAGAAAAGTGATAAGGACACCTGCTTAATCCTGGCAAAGGAAATTATCAGAGCTCGTAAAGCCGTCAATAAAATATACACTTCCAAAGCTCACATCAACTCAGTAATGTTGCAAATGAAAAATCAATTAGGTTAGCTAAAACCAACACTTGATGGAATGGGATGTGAAAAGTATTCACAAGTTTTGATAAACATTTTTTCAGCTACTTTAAGGGTGGCCGGGAATCTTCAAAAATCAACAGAGGTCATGACAGCAATGCAGCGCCTAATTAGGGTCCCTGAAGTAGCACAGACAATGCAAGATATGTCCAAGGAAATGATGAAAGCAGGGATTATTGAGGAAATGCTTGATGAAACCATGGATGAATTTGAAGATAATGAAGAAATGGAAGAGGCTGCTCAGACAGAAATTGATAAAGTCTTATTTGAGATCACAGAAGGTAGAATTGGTGAGGCACCATTGCCCCCTACTGAACCTACAGAAAAGGTGAAAGTTGTAGAACCTGAGGTGGAGGATGAAAGTGAGTTGGAAGACATGCAGACTAGGTTAGCTGCACTCAAGTCATAAATATGTTTTTCACATAATTTTCACTTACAAATTAGATAATTATGACATAATTTATATACAACTGCTATTTATGGAATAACATTTATTTTATATTTATATCCTTTTGAGCATGAGTAAAGCAGCTATATAGCTATTTGCTGCATTGTATTAGTATTCACAAGTACCTTTCTTTTTGTTATTTTGTTTTTAAATGTGTAATTTCCTGAGTTTTCAAAATATCCCTTTATTCAAATTGAGCAAATCAATTATTTTTGTATGAAAATGTGAAACAGAAAAAAAAACCTACTTAGCTCATAATAGGTTGGTCAATTTGGCTGTTCTTAAATGCTTTAATATATTTACATGAATTACTTATATTAGCTTTTAATAAAAAGAATAAACCATTCACTGATATAAACATTATATTATTCACCATACCTACATTTATATTATAACTAGATTATAACTGCTTCAACTTGCCATCAACACTAGCTACATCATCTATGTGAAATTAATATTAAATTATCAAGTTTACTTAGAGATAACAAGGGCTTCTTTATATAATTGAGTCATATTATACCAGTTATCTTTGATTCTTCAAATTTACTGTATTTCTCCTGAAAAAAAATATTGGTAGCCTGCCTTACTCACAGTTTTCAACATAATTGGAAAAAAGTTTATCCTTTAACGACGCTTCTTCTTTTCTTGTTTCCTGGACTTGTGATAAGGTCTCCTGGGAGTATTTTGTGGGGTGCTATGTTCTGAACTTTCATCATCACTGTCAACCTGAAATTCTAATTTGTATATAATTTCAAAACATTGATCAGATTTACCTACACGTGAACCCCAAGAGCTGTTATCATCTGGTTTATCTGACATGAAAATGCAAGCTGCTAAACACAGGATTTGAAAAATGGCTCCAAGATATAACCCATATCTAACAACTGTTGAAGTCATGTCTTCCACACCAATGTTGACTGCAGTATTCATTTTTCAAAGTAAAAGAGAATAGCACACAAAGTTGTTTTCACCTTCTGATATCTAGAAAAAATAAAAATATAAATTTGAATAATTGATCAGAGAATCATCCAAGGAGAGTATAATCCTTGAGAATCAACTGCATAAATAAATCAATAATTCTACTCTTCTACAAGGATTTCTACTTCTTCTATCGTGAATCCTAGGGTGATAAAAATTTACAAATTCAATCTGACCTGAAATGGGGCATCTAGAGACAGGATGCAAAGAGAGAGGGCGCAACAAATACTCCGCGCGTATCCGCGCAGAAACAAGTTTACAGAAAATTTCCGGCCGAGAGCTTTCACGGCCGATCCTGGAAAAACAAATAATTGAAATAGCGAATCACTTTCAGGTAATATTGAGTTTGTGCATGAAAATTGAAAAATATTGTTTCATTAGCATAATATGTCTTGGCTTTGGCATTAATTCATTTTTTCAATTTGTATAAATTAGTATAAATCACGTGCTTGCATCAGGGGTGCTTGCCTGATCATTATTGGTAGACAACCCCTCTGACTTCCATGTGGCGATGTGGCACATATATACCGGCCACTCCATCAACCTTTTATTTATTTTTCTTCAAATGATATTTTGGCAAAAAATATACTATCATTTCTCAAATTAAGACAGGAGAGATTCGAATTCACCGCCAAAGCTAGAATCGTTCTGATTGGTCTTAAGCGTTAATCATGGTTGATTGAATTCATGCAAACAGTTCACCTCTTTTTCTCGGCCTGTTGAAATTCTATATCCATGCCTTTTTATCGCACTTGAATAAACAGAGATGAGAGATGGTCACTCGTGGATCTGCACGAATCTAGTGCATTTTAGATTAGTGATTTAGAATTAAGTGATCAGGAGATCAGGTATCCTTTTCAAGGAATAGTAGGTTTTTTATGTGATTTGGATTAGTGCTTTTGTGATTTGAATCAAATATTTGATCTTGATCATCCATTGTTCATTGATCATTTGATATGATCTGATCATCTGATTCATATTTGATCATTTCAATTCGAAGTTTTGAGTGGACTGGTGGATGTTATTTAGCTCCCGGAAAATTTTTTCGCTAAACTAAGATTTTCCTTCTAAACCAGTGATTTTACGATCTGAAATTATTTTATTTGTTCTATAAATCGAGAATAGCCATTGATGTGATTTGAAGTTAGAAATAAAATTCTTGACTGGCCTTTTTATTTTTATTGAAAGATTAATATCTTTTCTATTTTTACAACATTCTGTTTACATATTAACAAAAGAATATCTTAACAACATGTTCATAGCTCTCTACATTTCTTTCTAATCATTTGACATACTTCAGAACCATAGAACACAAAACATAAACTTTCACATGTGTCAATTGTGTCATGTCATGTGTCAGTCATGAAAAAATCTCAACACTCCTCCTCGATTTTAAGTTTCCTTTTTTATTTTTACAAACAGGAATAAAAAATGAAACTTTAAATCGTATAAATACAAATTTACATAATATGAGCTTTATCTCTAAGTCTTACATACAATTCTTTACCTAAAGGTTTTGTAAGAAAATCTGCTAAATTTTCACTTGTGGTCACATATTCAATAGATATTGCTTTATTTTGCACCAAATCTTTTAGATAATGATTTTTTATATCTATATGTTTAGCCCTTTTTGTGTTCTCATAACATTTTGACATTAAAATAGTACTTTTATTATCACAGTATAATACTGGATTTGCATAAATTCCAAAATCATTTAAAATCCCCTTAAGATTAATCAAGTCCTGAGCCGAAGTTGCAGCTGCTACATATTCTGCTTCTGCAGTTGATAAGGCTACACAGCCTTGTTTCTTTGAAAACCATGATACAGGGTTATTTCCATGTAGTATTAAGCATCCACTTACACTTTTTCTGTCAGCTTTATCGGCTGCCCAATCTGAATCAGAAAATGCGTTTAGATGATTATTTGTATCTTCCTTATTTTTCACATAAACAAGTCCTTTACTTTTAGTTGCCTGTAAATAGCGTAGAACTCTTTTTCCTGCATTCCAAGTTTTGTTAGTAGGTTTATCAAGAAATCTACTCAAATATGAAACCGAAAATGTTATGTCTGGTCTAGAAGATGTTGATAGGTACATCAACCCTCCAATCAAATTCCTATATGGAACAGTTACTATAGGACTATCTTCATCATACTGAAAACCTTTTTCCATAGGTGTACTTTTCCCATTGCATTGCTGCATGTTGAAACTTTCTAACAACTTCTCTATAAATCTTGTCTGACTTATCTTCAGTTGATTTTCTGTTCTACTTATCATCATGCCTAAAAATATTTCCACTTTACCTAGGTCTTTTGCTTGAAAATACTCTTTCAACAATAACACTGTTTTGTTCACTTTATCATCATGTCCTACAAGTAGCATGTCATCCACATATATCAATAACCAAACTTTATCACCACAATATAAACAACAATCATACTTTGATCTTTTGAAATTATTTGTTTCTGCAAAATTATTAAAAGTTTCGTTCCACACTTTAGGTGATTCTTTTAAACCATATAGGGCACGTTTCAATCTCAAGAATGGCGAGTTTGTTTTCAATCCTTCTGGTGGTAAAATATAAATTTCACTTTCCAACTTGCCATTTAAAAATGCAGTGGGAATGTCTAATTGCCTAATTTCCCATTCATTCTGCAATGCTAAGGACAATAAAATTCTTATAGTTGATATCCTAGCAACAGGAGCATACATAGTCTTGAATTGATTCTCCTCCTTTATTTGGAATCCTTTTGCTACAATCCTTGCCTTTTTTGTACCATCGTCCTTGGTTCGGAACACCCATTTTGTTTCTATAGCCTTAATTCCTTTAGGCTTATCTTCTTCTTTCCATGTTTCTAATTTCTCATGTGAATTTAATTCCTTCTGTATTGCTTGTTTCCATTCTTCAGTTTTTATTGCCTCTTCATAGCTTTCTGGATCATTTGGTGATGAAAGAAGGCAGTATGCAGAGTATATTTCATATTCATTTAAATACTTAGGGATATTTACTCTTCTTCCTCGGATTGTCTCTATTGTATCTACTCTATTTTCGATTTCCATCTCACTGTCTATTATTTCTGATTCCTCATCTGTATCTGTCTTTTCTATGACTTCATTTTCAATTTTCTTCTGATTGCTTTCATTTTCCACAATAATCACTCCATTGTTCTTATCACCTATTTCATCATTTATTTCTTCAGCTATTTTATTATAATTTGTCTGTGTTTCATCAAATTTTACATCTCTAGAGCATATTACTTCATTTTTCTCAATATCCCAGAGCCTGTACCCGTTTCCACTATAGCCAACCATTATACATCTCTTTGCACGTTTCTCAAGTTTGTTTGCTCTTGGCAACACAACTGCCCAGGTAAGACTCCCGAAAATTCTTAATTTTGATAAGTCATTCTTTTGGTACCATCTTTCAGCTGGTGGAGTGCCATCATTTGCTTTAGTTGGAGATCTATTGATCTCATAGGCTGAGCACAAGATTGCTTCACCCCAAAGTTCCTTAGGTAAATTAGTTTCTGCAAATTTGGTCCTCACCTTATCCATTAGAGTTCGATTCATGCGTTCAGATTTGCCATTCTGCTGCGGGGTATATGGCAGACTATATTCTATTTGTATACCTTTGCTTCTACAAAACTGTTTCAAGAAAGTTGATGAAAATTCACCCCCATTATCACATCTAATCTTTTGAGTTTTCAAACCATGCTGAGTTTTTATTAATTTAATAAAATCAATTAAATTTTGGGCTGCTTCATTTTTAGATTTTAGTAATTTGACAACCAAGAAATGTGAGTAATCATCAATTAATACTTGGAAGTATTTAAAACCTTCAAAAGTAGGTGTCACTACTGGACCAGCAATATCTGTATGAATTATTTGACCAATTCGAGTAGTTTTGTTTTTACATTCATAGAAACTATTTCTAGTACTTTTACCTTCCATACAACTACTACAAATCTCATCACTATAAGGTAAGCCTAATTGCTTTAATCCATATCTATTTAGATGTCCTAATCTCTTATGCCAAATATTTCCTAAATAACACCCATTGGTCATATAACTTTTGATATTATTATGACTTTCTATGTTTAACAAAAATAAATTATTAAATGTTTCACAATAAAATGTAAAATTATTGAAAATTATTTTTGCATGTTTTTCATTAGACTTGTCATTTTCGAATATGACTTTGAATCCTTTTCTCAACAATTGTGAAACAGATAATAAATTATGAGACATACCTTGAACAATTAAAGCTTCTATCTCAATTTCTTTGCCTTGACAAATCCCTTTTAATATTCCTTTTTTCTTAGCAATCAATGTATCACCACTTTTAGCTGTACCTATATTTATTTCTGTTCGCAGCTCTTGAATATCTGTCATAAATTCTTGCAGTTCATCAGTAACCAGGTGTTCTGTGGCACCTGAGTCTAAAATAAAACAGTTTTTATTGTTTAAGGATTCAGTACAATTTAAAGCAATGAATGCAATTGGGTTTTCTGATGCACTGTTGGCTTCTTGCTCTGCGCTTGCATTTCTTCCTTGGCTGAAACCTCTGCTTCTATAGTTATAAGTTCCTCTTCCTCTGCACTCTCCTCTACTTCTATAATCTCCTCTACTTCTATAATCTCCTCTTCCTCTGTAGCTTCCTCTACTTCTACATTCTGAGATTCTATGTCCAGGTTTTCCACATTTATAACATGTATACTGACTTGCCTTGAATACAACTTCGCTATTTCTACTGCTACCTCCACTTTTGGTTTTAATTTTAAGCTCTTCATCTAAAAGTCTGGACTTAACAAAATCCATTGTTACATCGGTATTTAAGGTTTCTATTGCAGTAATTACAGCTTCGTAGTCTTCATTCAGTGATAACAGCAAGTAACAAACTTTGTCTGATTCCTCAACTTTTGATCCTACACTTTCTAATTCACGTATTATGGTATCAAACCTAAGAAAGTGATCTTCTAATTTTTCATTCTTCTTATACTTCAGTATCAATAACTTCTTTTTCAATGTCAACTTTGTAAATATACTTTTACGTTGGAATACATCTTCTAATGATTTCATCATTTGTTTAGCTGTTGATGAATCCTTTATGATATCAAGATGTTTATCAGATACACATTGTATTATCATTGATTTGGCTTTAGCATCCTTGTTCTTAAAGTTTGTCTTCTCTGCTTCAGTAGTGAAGTCAGCCAGTTCTTTCTCCAGTGTCTCTTCTATTTGCTTTTCTTCTAGAAATGCTTTCACTCTAAATTTCCAGTTGTTGAAATTATCTGAATTCAACTGAGGGAACAGTACTGATGTATTATTCATCTTGTTATTTACAAGGAAGTCTTGCTCACTTGTATTATAATATGTACTAACAGCAATCCACTGCTAACAGCATAGACAGGAGGTCAACTGGATTGTATTTTTCTAACTTCTTCAGAGCCTACGTCTAGCGTGATCCTGGGCCCATAACCTGATGTGATTTGAAGTTAGAAATAAAATTCTTGACTGGCCTTTTTATTTTTATTGAAAGATTAATATCTTTTCTATTTTTACAACATTCTGTTTACATATTAACAAAAGAATATCTTAACAACATGTTCATAGCTCTCTACATTTCTTTCTAATCATTTGACATACTTCAGAACCATAGAACACAAAACATAAACTTTCACATGTGTCAATTGTGTCATGTCATGTGTCAGTCATGAAAAAATCTCAACAGCCATTACCTGTTATCATAATGGTGTCAGGAGGGATGTCTTGTGTTAAATACATGCTTTTTGCATTCAACCTACTTTTTGCTGTGAGTGTATAAAAAATAGAATTATGTTTTCACAAAATATTCCATTAATGTCTGATTATATGTTTCCTTTAATAGATCTCTGGTATAGCAATCCTTACAGTTGGAGCTATTATTCATATGGTATATTCCCATTATTCCAATTTTGTGTACACAAGCTATCAATCAGCCCCAATAGTCCTCATAATAGTTGGTGTTGTAATCTTCATCGTAGCTTTCTTCGGGTGCTGCGGAGCTGTGAAAGAAAATCACTGCATGGTTGTTACAGTCAGTATTCCATAAAAAAATATCTCTTTGATCTAACTTGAGTGTTTTTAGTTTTCTGTTCTTCTATTGGCAATACTCATCCTAGAATTGGTAGCTGGAATCATGGGATATGTGAAACGCAATGAGGTTGAAGTTATGTTGGAGAGCAAGTTGAATTCAACAATGTATAGCTACTACACAAATCCTGAGATAGAAAATACTTGGGATATTGCTCAACATGAGGTAAGTTGGAGACTCCCAAATATATATACCAGCGTGAAAGCAGCCACGTCTTCCAGCCACGACTCCGCTGAAATTTTACGACGCGCTACAAAACACCAACGGTAGTCAAATATTAAAAACGTGGCTGGCCAGCCACAAAATATCTAAAGCCGTTCGAATTTACTGGACACAGATTTTTTCTATCACATACAGTGTGTATGAATAAGATTGAATAAAAACACACAATATTTTGCTTGGCATGAATTTTCTCATATTATTCCACCTCTCAGACTTACGAAAAAAACGATAAATTCCAAACTTCGAAAAATCATGACTCTCTTAAGGGAAGATATATCATTGATTTTCGTTCGAGAATATACAGTGTGTATGCTGGTAAATGAGATTTATATCATGCAATATTCAGCCGGACAACATTTTTCCCGAAATCGACTACTCAAACTCGCAAAGAAATCGATAAATCTGAAATTTTGAAAAATCATAGCTCTCTTACTAGACGATATATCATTGATTTTTCTTCGAGTATATACAGTGTGTATGATGGTGAATAAGATCTATATCATGCAATATTTTGCCGGCCAAGATTTTTCCCGAAATCGACTACTCAAACTTGCGAAGAAATCGATAAATCTGAAACTTTGAAAAATCATAGCTCTCTTAATAGATGATATATCATTGATTTTTCTTAGAGAATATACAGTGTGTATGATGATGAATAAAATCTATATCATGCAATATTTTGCCGGCCAAGATTTTTCCTGAAATCGACTACTCAAACTCGCGAAGAAATCAACGAATCTGAAACTTTGAAAAATCATAGCTCTCTTAATAGACGATATATCATTGATTTTTCTTCGAGTATATACAGTGTGTATGATGGTGAATAAGATCTATATCATGTAATATTTTTCCGGCCAAGATTTTTCCCAAAATCGACTACTCAAACTCGCGATGAAATCGATAAATCTGAAACTCTGAAAAATCATAGCTCCCCTAATAGACCATGTATCATTGATTTTTCTTCGAGGATATACAGTGTGTATGATGGTGAATGAGATCTATATCATGCAATATTTTGCCGGCCAAGATTTTTCCCGAAATCGACTACTCAAACTCGCGAAAAAATTGATAAATCTGAAACTTTGAAAAATCATAGCTCTCTTAATAGACGATATATCATTGACTTTTCTTCGAGGATATCCAGTGTGTATGATGGTGAATGAGATCTATATCATGCAATATTTTGCCGGCCAAGATTTTTCCCAAAATCGACTACTGAAACTCGCGATGAAATCGATAAATCTGAAACTTTGAAAAATCATAGCTCTCTTAATAGACCATATATCATTGATTTTTCTTCGAGGATATACAGTGTGTATGATGGTGAATAAGATCTATATCATGTAATATTTTGCTGGCCAAGATTTTTCCCAAAATCGACTACTCAAACTCGCGAAGAAATTGATAAATCTGAAACTTTGAAAAATCATAGCTCACTTAATACACTATGTATCATTGATTTTTCTTCGAGGATATACAGTGTGTATGATGATGAATGAGATCTATATCATGCAATATTTTGCCGGCCAAGATTTTTCCCGAAATCGACTACTCAATCTCGCGAAGAAATCGATGAATCTGAAATTTTGAAAAATCATAGCTCTCTTAATAGACGATATATCATTGATTTTTCTTCGAGGATATACAGTGTGTATGATGGTAAATGAGATCTATATCATGTAATATTTTGCCGGCCAAGATTTTTCCCGAAATCGACTACTCAAACTCGCGAAGAAATTGATAAATCTGAAACTTTGAAAAATCATAGCTCTCGTAATACACCATGTATCATTGATTTTTCTTCGAGGATATACAGTGTGTATGATGATGAATGAGATCTATATCATGCAATATTTTGCCGGCCAAGATTTTTCCCGAAATCGACTACTCAAACTCGCGAAGAAATTGATAAATCTGAAACTTTGAAAAATCATAGCTCTCGTAATACACCATGTATCATTGATTTTTCTTCGAGTATATACAGTGTGTATGATGGTGAATAAGATCTATATCATGTAATATTTTGCCGGCCAAGATTTTTCCCAAAATCGACTACTCAAACTCGCGAAGAAATCGATGAATCTGAAACTTTGAAAAATCATAGCTCTCTTAATAGACGATATATCATTGATTTTTCTTCGAGGATATACAGTGTGTATGATGGTGAATGAGATCTATATCATGCAATATTTTGCCGGCCAAGATTTTTCCCGAAATCGACTACTCAAACTCGCGAAGAAATCGATGAATCTGAAACTTTGAAAAATCATAGCTCTCTTAATAGACGATATATCATTGATTTTTCTTCGAGGATATACAGTGTGTATGATGGTGAATGAGATCTATATCATGCAATATTTTGCCGGCCAAGATTTTTCCCGAAATCGACTACTCAAACTCGCGAAGAAATCGATGAATCTGAAACTTTGAAAAATCATAGCTCTCTTAATAGACGATATATCATTGATTTTTCTTCGAGGATATACAGTGTGTATGATGGTGAATGAGATCTATATCATGCAATATTTTGCCGGGCAAGATTTTTCCCAAAATCGACTACTCAAACTCGCGATGAAATCGATAAATCTGAAACTTTGAAAAATCATAGCTCTCTTAATAGACCATATATCATTGATTTTTCTTCGAGAATATACAGTGTGTATGATGATGAATGAGATCTATATCATGCAATATTTTGCCGGACCAGATTTTTCCCGAAATCGACTACTCAAACTCGCGAAAAAATTGATAAATCTGAAACTTTGAAAAATCATAGCTCTCTTAATAGACGATATATCATTGATTTTTCTTCAAGGATATACAGTGTGTATGATGGTGAATGAGATCTATATCATGCAATATTTTGCCGGCCAAGATTTTTCCCGAAATCGACTACTCAAACTCGCGAAGAAATCGATGAATCTGAAACTTTGAAAAATCATAGCTCTCTTAATAGACGATATATCATTGATTTTTCTTCGAGTATATACAGGGTGTAAGATGGTGAATAAGATCTATATCATGTAATATTTTGCCGGCCAAGATTTTTCCCGAAATCGACTACTCAAATTCGCGAAGAAACCGATAAATCTGAAACTTTGAAAAATCATAGCTCTCTTAATAGACGATATATCATTGATTTTTCTTCGAGTATATACAGTGTGTATGATGGTGAATAAGATCTATATCATGTAATATTTTGCCGGCCAAGATTTTTCCCAAAATCGACTACTCAAACTCGCGATGAAATCGATAAATCTGAAACTCTGAAAAATCATAGCTCCCCTAATAGACCATGTATCATTGATTTTTCTTCGAGGATATACAGTGTGTATGATGGTGAATGAGATCTATATCATGCAATATTTTGCCGGCCAAGATTTTTCCCGAAATCGACTACTCAAACTCGCGGAGAAATTGATAAATCTGAAACTTTGAAAAATCATAGCTCTCGTAATACACCATGTATCATTGATTTTTCTTCGGGGATATACAGTGTGTATGATGGTGAATAAGATCTATATAATGTAATATTTTGCCGGCCAAGATTTTTCCCAAAATCGACTACTCAAACTCGCGAAGAAATCGATGAATCTGAAACTTTGAAAAATCATAGCTCTCTTAATAGACGATATATCATTGATTTTTCTTCGAGGATATACAGTGTGTATGATGGTGAATGAGATCTATATCATGCAATATTTTGCCGGCCAAGATTTTTCCCGAAATCGACTACTCAAACTCGCGAAGAAATCGATGAATCTGAAACTTTGAAAAATCATAGCTCTCTTAATAGACGATATATCATTGATTTTTCTTCGAGGATATACAGTGTGTATGATGGTGAATGAGATCTATATCATGCAATATTTTGCCGGCCATGATTTTTCCCGAAATCGACTACTCAAACTCGCGAAGAAATCGATGAATCTGAAACTTTGAAAAATCATAGCTCTCTTAATAGATGATATATCATTGATTTTTCTTCAAGGATATACAGTGTGTATGATGGTGAATGAGATCTATATTATGCAATATTTTGCCGGCCAAGATTTTTCCCGAAATCGACTACTCAAACTCGCGAAGAAATCGATGAATATGAAACTTTGAAAAATGATAGCTCTCTTAATAGACGATATATCATTGATTTTTCTTCGAGGATATACATTGTGTATGATGATGAATAAGATCTATATCATGCAATATTTTGCCGGCCAAGATTTTTCCCGAAATCGACTACTCAAACTCGCGAAGAAATTGATAAATCTGAAACTTTGAAAAATCATAGCTCTCTTAATAGACGAAATATCATTGATTTTTCTTCGAGGATATACAGTGTGTATGATGATGAATAAGATCTATATCATGCAATATTTTGCCGGCCAAGATTTTTCCCGAAGTCGACTACTCAAACTCGCGAAGAAATTGATAAATCTGAAACTTTGAAAAATCATAGCTCTCGTAATACACCATGTATCATTGATTTTTCTTCGGGGATATACAGTGTGTATGATGGTGAATAAGATCTATATCATGTAATATTTTGCCGGCCAAGATTTTTCCCGAAATCGACTACTCAAACTCGCGAAGAAATCGATAAATCTGAAACTTTGAAAAATCATAGCTCTCTTAATAGACCATATATCATTGATTTTTCTTCGAGGATATACAGTGTGTATGATGGTGAATAAGATCTATATCATGTAATATTTTGCCGGCCAAGACTTTTCCCGAAATCGACTACTCAAACTCGCGAAGAAATCGATGAATCTGAAACTTTGAAAAATCATAGCTCTCTTAATAGACGAAATATCATTGATTTTTCTTCGAGGATATACAGTGTGTATGATGATGAATAAGATCTATATCATGCAATATTTTGCCGGCCAAGATTTTTCCCGAAGTCGACTACTCAAACTCGCGAAGAAATTGATAAATCTGAA